TGGGAAAGAAAAAGAACTGTTGAAGCTGAACACCCAACAAGCCAACCCACCGACCACTTACGCTGCTAAACTGCTAATGGAAGAGTCAAGAGAGAGAGAGGGAGATAAAGAATTAGAAAGAGGAGATAAAGAAAGAACTTTCACTGATTGAACGCTGCCATTCTTATTTTAGTACTTTGTCATCTTTCATTTTAAAATAAAAAAATATTTATAATATTTAGTTTTGTCTTTTGTTTTGGGCTTGGAATCTTCCACCATTGAATCTGATTATATGAATGTGTAGTCCCTTCTTTGTTGTGGTCCCCTTTTTGATAAATTACTAAATAAAATCAATATACCACATGTTATTTGTGTTATCTTTTTTAATGCTTAAATACTCTTAGAATTTTTTTTTTGTTTAGTAATTTGAAAGTTTCTAGGTATTAAAGAGAAAATGGAGAGATTTTTAAGAAAGGAAATTACCATAGAATGAAGGACAATTTTCATCAAGAGCTTGTGAATCAAATAGCCAACAACAACACTAACAAAATGAAATTAATTTAAAAGATTTGCCATTAGATTTAGAAAAAAAAATTAGAATTTCATCTTCTCATCCTAATGTCCAAGATAAGTACATAGAGCATATTTGCAAAAAAGATCATGTCAATTTGCTCAACATAATTTTTTTTAAAGAAAAATTCAAAATTCTATGAAAAGATTTTGTCTTTCTTGCTTTAAAGAATTAGGCAATTGGTTAGAGTATAGTATTAAAAAAGATGTTGTGTTTTACTTATGTTATTACCTTTTTAGGCTTGACCATGGAAAGCAATTAGGTAGTGAGTATTTGGGACAAAGGATTTACAAATTGGAATAAAAAAAAAACGGAAAGCTCACATCCCATTTTGAAGGTTCTAAATGTGCTCATGATATTGCTTGGAAAAAGTATCAAGATTTAATGAATCAAAATCAATGTATTGAAGTTGCAATTTTTAAGCAATCTAAACAAGTTCGTGACTTATATTAAAGACATTTGAATGCATCAATCAATTGTCTCTACTTTTTGTTAAAGTAAGGATTAGTAATTTTGTGAACTTATTAGGTTTTTCACTGACCATAATGAATCAATCAATCAAGTTATTTTGGAAAGTGCTCCTGAAAATAGCCGATTGACTTCTCATGAAATTCAAACAAATATTATTACGGCTGTTGCAATTGAAACCACTAATGCTATTATTTGTAATCTTGGAGATGGACTATTTGTCATTATTGTTGATGAGTCACAAAATGTATCAAATAAGGAGCAAATGGTTGTTGCTTTGCATTATGTTGATAAAAATGAATGTCTTGTTGAACATCATCTGAGCATAGTATATGTTAAGGAGACTATTGCTCTATCATTAAAAATAAAAGTTCATGAATTGTTACGCAACTTTGGGCTAAATATATCAAGAATACATGGACATGGTTATAATGGTTCTAGTAATATGCAAGGTAAATTTAGTGATCTCAAAAGTTTAATCATGAGGGAGAATTTGTTTGTATTTTATATGCATTGCTTTGCTCCTCAGCTATAGTTTACATTACTTGCGTTTGAAAAAAAAAAAATCATATTCAAGTTGCCTCTCTTTTCAATTTAGTGAATACTGTAATAAATGTTGTTTGGGGATCTTGTGTATGACGTGATTTGTTTCGTGAAAAATAAATAAAAAATGTTAGAAAGGCATTGGACATAGGTGAAATTTCTAATGGACAAGGCTTAAATAAAGAAATTGGTTTTAAAAGAAGTGGTATACTCATTGGAGCTCACATTATGCACAATTGTTTACCTTGAAATTGACATTTTTTGCTATAATTGATATTCTTGAAATTATAAAAGAATTTGGATCAAATGCAGGTCAAAGAGAGGAAACCAATGGTATTTTATGCTTGTTGGAGGATTTTTTTTATTTTGCATTTACCCTACATTTAATGAAAAATATCTTAGGTATTTCACATGAGTTGTCATAGGCATTGCAAATGAAGGATCAAGATATTATCAACGTAATAAACTTAGTAAACATCACAAAAGAGTGACAATAAACTTTGAGGAATAGTGGATGGGAGTTTCTTTTGGAAGAAGTTACTTTATTTTACAATAAGCATGTCATTAATAGTTCTAACATGGAAGATGCTTTTTTTTTTTTTTGTCTAAAGGGAGATTGCATTGTGGAAGTAAATCTCAAGCAATCTCAGTTGATCATCTTTATTGAGTTAAATTATTTTATACTGTTGTGAATATGCAACTTTAAGAATTAAATGATTGTTTCATTCAAACAAATACACAATTGCTCCTTTGCATGTTTTGTTTGAATCCAACAAATTCATTCTCAACTTTTGGTAAGGAAAGGTTAATTGAATTTATCAAGTTTTATTCATGTGAGTTTTATTGCATGATATGTGAAGCAATACTAAATTTGCATCATTAAAAGGAATTAGTAATCCTACAAAAAAATTAGTGAAAACAAGAAGATATATAGTTTATCTCTTAGTTTGTATTCTCTTGAAGTTAGTAATAATATTACTAGTTGCCACAGCAAAAAAGAAAGAGCCTATTCTATTATAAACTTTGTGAAAAATTAGTTGCAGAATTGTATGAGAGATTTATTGATGAATAATTGTTTAGTGATTTATATTAAAAAATATATTTTTCCTTAGCATCAATAATGAGATTATTGTTCAACAATTCTAGAATATAAAGTCATGCAGGATACAATTGCAATGTATGTACATGCTTTATTTAAAAAAATTATTTTTAAATTATTAATTATAAAAATGTTGCACCCCCTGGCCTATGTTTCTGGCACCATATTCATTCATTATATAAAGTTTGCGATCGATGTTATTTTTTAAAACGACGGGTAAATGAGTCTTTTCACAAAAAAAAATATATATTTGCGTATAAGAAGTTTGGGGCTACAGAATGAATTTAGAATACATTGGACTTTATTTATGTATAATTCTATCGGGCTGCAGAATCAATTTAAAATGTGTTGAACTTTAGGTATGATTTTACACCCAAAAAAAAAAAAAAAGCTGATGGAGCTTGCACTATTTATTAGAAGAATGAAATATTAGTGCAGCTGGCACTCTTAATCATTCTTTTTTCAAATTTCAATTTATTAAAAAACTAATCTATAATATGCCAAATGTGACCTTAGTGAATTTGATTAAGAATTTACATGTTCAATTGCTCCACGTCTCTCTATCTTTTGTAAGTTCTTGCTGGCTTACCCTCAAAGTTTTGTAACGTTCTGAAGTCATTTTTGTTTATTTATCCACGGATCTATATTTTGCATCTATTTAAGCCCAGAAATGATTTCCATTCTTATCATGTTATGAGCAGAGCTAATGAAGAAAATGTTATATAACTTAAAACTACAGCCAGTAAAACTAGAACTCGATAATTTAGATTGGCCTAACAAATTTGAAGGTCATGTTTAGAGAAATTGTAATTTTTTATATTCGAGTTTAATTAGGCCGACCCAGCATAATATATTTTTTATACACAATATATAAATTTCTTAAGACTTCCTACATTTTTTACTATCAGATTATATGTATATTTGAGTTTACTATTATAGAAATATTCTTAAAGTTCAAAAATATCTCTATTGTGATATTTCTATCATTTGTAATCGATAAAGCACCTTAAAATAATCTTAAAAACGTATTTCAATACTGATTTTTAAATTTTAAGTCCCACAGTTTTCCTTAAAGAATTAGAGTCTTTCATATTTTTGAAGTGTCTCAAAAGGTATATTGTATATTTCTTAATAATAACAATAATTAATTTTGTTTATCCAAAAAAATAATTAATTTTAAGGTGAAAATTGAAATTGGATTAAAAATGAAAAAAAATAAAAATTTTCTAACAATTCATATATTCAATTCAAAAGCTTAATATATTAAGATTAAGATTAAGCTTAGTTATATGAGTTTTTTTTTTTTTTTTTGTATTTGGACTTAGTTGGGATTAGTCCAACTCCAATAAGTTGGACTAGCACGGAGAATGCACTTGGCATGTGATGGTTGAGTTGAGATTTGTATGTCTAATGGATAGTACTGGGTAAATTGGTATAATTAATTGTGTGATTAGCAGCATGACTTCTTTTTTTCTCCAGTTGAAGGTAAATAGAACTAATGATGATAATCATATTAATAACCCAGGAATACTTCGTTTAACTAGTTGAGAAAATTAGTTGAGGAAATTAAATCAACTTCTCCATTTGAGCTCGAATCCTAAGATATGAAATATCGTTTAATAAATATGCCAAATCATTTAAAAAAAAAAAAAAAAACCATGAAGCCACTGTTAGTAACAACAGTCTCACACTGAAAATTCAGATTAATCTAGATGACAGTGATAATACTCTCATGTTTTCCATAATACTGGATAATTGAATAATATATATATATATATATATATATAATAAACAGATTTCGTTTAATTACTTCCTGTTTTTCACCTAGCACAGTTACATGGTGTAATTAGATTTAGGCTTGCAATAGTGATTGAATATTTGGCAGAAAACACTTTAGCCCGTTGGTTTTAATATGATGCTAGATTTAGTGAAGACGTGTTACGTTCAATATCTTTTCTTGGGACAATTTATTTTTGAGATTATAACTATAATACGCTCAATGACGATAATAGCCGACAACTTCCAAGTTGCGAAGCCGTCTGTTAGAAAACTGATGTGACTTGATTGTGGTCTCTAACCAGAGACTAATCGGATTATACACAACCAGCGAAATAAGATATAAAAAACCGTTGAAATTTCATTGATCACAATACATAATGAAAATATAGGTGAAAAAAAAAAGGAAAAAAAAATCCGTCGAAAAAATAATCAATCTCAAATCTAAATGAAGCTGCATTGCCCCAGAAGAAGAAAAACAAAGAAAGAAACGCATCATATTTTCATTCAATATAATAAAAAAAATGAGGGAAAAACAATCAATGTGATGCACTAATATTTGAGCACATGTGGGAGAGCAATGAGAGAACTATACTTGCAACTAATTTACCTATCACTAAAGGCTAACGCTTGTCTCTGATAGTACATATATTACAAGACATCCCTGAACCACTGGGATGGAACCAAAAATGCTTACAAACAAGAGCTCAAAAACCTTAAACCACGATTCCTAACAATTGTTATCTATAAAATATCTGTAATTTACTTCTGTATGCCCTAAAATCTATGACTTTATGAGGGGTGTAAGTCCATCACCTTCCCAACCCAGCTTCAGCATTTGATCAACTACTTTCAAGCTTAACTGCAAGCAAGAACTAGCTCAGTTACAAGCCATGGCATGTAGCAAGCTTCAGTTAAAAAATATGTTGGAGATATCATATTTTAGAGGTTATAACTCAAATTTAAAGTTTTAGGCCCTGTCATCCAACTTCCATGAGTACGTCATTACCCAATAACAAACTTTGACCATAGAGAAAAAATTGAAAATTAAGTGAAACTCTAAAGATTAACAGAAAAATATTAAACTGATAAAAGCATTTTTGCAGAGTTTAATTCTGTGCCCTTTGGGGTAGTTCTATGAACCTTTTTTTCTTGCTCACAAATATTCTCGTTAGATGCAATCCTATTCAAAACACGGTTAGGCACTGAATGTGGATACCTATCTCTCTCAATGGGGATTTGTTCTTTCAAGTTGTGAGGAACTAGTCTCTTTCAATAAACTCAACCCCCTGTTGGTGTAGTTATATGAACTTTAAAGGTAGGTTCCGTTGTTGAGAAATGAACATCCCATGTTATTTAGGAATTTTTTTTTTTAAAGCATTTTGAAGGAAAATAAAGGAAGTTTATTACTTCAAACAAAATACATGGAGCAGAAAACGTGACACCTTGCACTGCAAACTACACAAAAAAAGGACAAAGTCAAAGAATGATTTCACCTACAGCTGGATCAGTGAAGATTATCAACTGTTTATCCAAAGTTGAGACCAAAAGATTTGTGTTATCCTTGTTTAAAGCTAGAGCTGTGATATCCTGTCTTTTCCCAGCTTTAATATATGAAATACCTACAAATAATAGTACGGCATATTGGTTAGAAACGAGGTAAAACAGTCTGGCAGGACTGAGATTAAGGGACCTGCAGAAAAGGACGGCCCATGAAATTTCGTCGTTTCATTTTACGGTTATTATGTCATACTGAAATTAACAATCAATGTATGGCCCACATAAAAATTATCACACTTGATTCAAAGAGAAAGATACAAATAAAGATTAGTTCTAGACAAATATAAGGAAGGAAGAAACTGCAGTACGCAAGAATTGAGGGTTAGTTCTGCCTGAGAAAATTTCTTTAGCGAGGAATATGCAGAAAATATTTCTAGTGTGAACTCTAGGATAAACGCAAGTTCGAAATTGATGCGAAATAAAGCAACTGGGTAGTGTGAATTAGAAATCAAGATGTTTACTTTTGACATCTGAATTAATGCATCTTAATATTTTACCTTCAGAGTGTGCAAATCCAGGAAGCAAATAGATGGCAACGAAGCATTTATTCCATTGCTTTCTTGAGCTTTTCCTGATTCTGAATCAATATCATCATCGCTCAAATTCCAACTATTATTATAGACCCCAGCATTTTCTAGAGGATTAATTCCAATTAAGGCACTCTTCCCATCAACAGGAATTTCAATGCAACTAATCCTGCTAGAGAAAGATAATTGTGTTTCAGCAATTAAAACACCATTAAGAGTGAAGGTGCTGAGAGTATGCTCTGATTCGTTCCAAGTCACAACAACACCATCAGAGGAAAGGCGGACAATATGAGCCTTCACACCAACTAATCTTCTAATTAGACGTCCTCTTCTGACAGAGTGCAACAGAACATCCGAAGAAAGGGAACATGAAACAACAATTCCTATATCTGAACTGACACAACAACTGAGGATTTCACTATGGTGCCCCGAAGTATATATATGGGACCTTCAATACGACACCTCCGATTCTTTTCTGTCAACAAGTTTGATGAAGAATTACTGCTTGTCGAAGGCTGAGTACCTGTCCCAGATGAAGGTTCAGACACACTTGAGCGAGACAAAAGTGCCCGATGTATTCTCCATAGTATTACAGTGGTATCCCGGGATCCTGTCACCAGGTACTTGCTATCCAGTGAAAGGCCAAGGCATGTTACAGGAGCACTGTGCGCACAGGCTGTTTCCAAGGTTTTAGCTCCATCCGAGGATATCAGCTTAATGCTATTATCAGCATGTCCACCTAATAAGAAGCCAAAATATTCAGGATAAATGTCAGATAACAAAGAAATTAAAATAAATGTCTTAAATAATGTACAAAGGTTTTTCACAAAATCAGAAAAGTGTTAATCACATATTAAGAAAAGATAGTTGTTTCCAAATAAGGTCTTACATGCTGCAACCATCATACTTTATTGGTTTAAAACATACCAATATCTGAAATGCTTGATCTAGTGTTTTCCCATTCCCTTTTATTAGTGGGCTAATACTAATTAATGCGGTTGGAGAACTATATAAACCTAATTTATGGGCAATTTTATCTGATCATTCTTGAACATGAGGTGGTACTTGAGACAAAGTTATCTGTTGGGGATAAGGTTAGACAATGGTCATAAACTGAGAACCCGTGTTATTGAGCTTAGACAATGTCTGTGGAAGTATTTTGTTTTAATCAAATATAGAGTTCTACTCAATATAACTCGTAGAACAATCATTCCGCCAGAGTGTATGTCTAATTAGAAAAGCTACAATGAAAAACACACCAGAAAAATGCGGACGGTCTAGCCTTTTGAGAGGCCAGAGTCCCCCACACCACACTCATGTTCTTCCTTAAACCCTTATTTGAAATCAGTCCTCAATATATATCTACCTAATAGTCCTTTCTCCCACACACCTCACGAGCCATGTGAGGTAATTACAGTGTTATTCCCCTTTTCCAAACTTTTGGAAACCTCTGCACTGGAATAAAAATCTTAGATCCTCCCATATCACATTTGTTTTTCCCCAGGTCCAAGTTCCAGAATACCATGGACATCATAGTATACCATGGTATCTAAAGATGCCCATGTTTGTAAAGGTAGTCTTTGATAAGTGAGATATGATATCCCATAGTTTTTCTGATATTAGATAACACCCAAAATGGAGTCACCTTATGACACTAATAATATCTTGAATGGCACCTGTCATCTTAGATATTAACAAACCAAAAACATCTTGCATGTTGAATCACATCATGACAGGAGGATGAACAAGGAAAGATCAAATGTTACAAGACTATATACGGGAAAGTCCAAATAACTTATCATGTTCAACTCCTCAGTATAGATGACTTGAAGGAGAGATGGAATATTTAACTGAACAACTAATTCCCAAATTCACCAGACAATAAATCAATGGTGATGAGTATAAATCAAATCCAACGGTTATAAATTTTACAGTACATAGTCATCTAAAATAATGACTTTTCTCAGAAAATAGATACCAGAGGCAACATATATGAATATTCTTGGGCTCCACTAGACTTACCAGTAATAATTTCTCTGTCACAAGTAATAGAGACAATGGCAGTGCTTCTAATTCCAGAGACAGCAAATGCTTGTGCTTGGGGGAAATGCCAGTCTTCATCAGATCCTGCAGGGCCTTTGAACATGCGCATAAGTGTCCCCCAGCAGAGCCTGTAGCTTTTCCATGTTGGAAGAGGATGGAGTACCCTGACCATCAGGTGTATTCGGCTGCCACTTGTGTTGTGCAACACAAGCTGCTGGTGCATTCATATCAACAACCACGACCATGTCTGAAGATGCTTGAATGGCAGCAGCAGGTACATTGCAGCGGTCAGGGGTGGGAACAGCATAAGGTTTGACTTCTTTGGATTGCGGAATATTGTCTGATAACAAAGAGAATTGCATGCTTTATGATTATGACCACTTGTAGTCCTAATCAACAATATGAAAATGTCAAGTAAAAAGACATCAAACCAAGATCTTTTGGATTGCGGAATATTGTCTGATAACAAAGAGAATTGCATGCTTTATGATTATGACCACTTATAGTCCTAATCAACAATATGAAAATGTCAAGTAAAAAGACATCAAACCAAGATCTGATCATGAATCAGAAAATCTTTACAACTTATTCACTTCGGAAATAAAACCTTCCATCATTTTTATAGATACTGAAAGCTCAATGGTAATGAATTCTACCTCATTATCTCCCAGCAGCTATCATCAAAACACATAAGAATAGAATAAATACTAACTGTAAGCAAGAGGAATAAATTTATAACGTAAATAGACATGAATCAAACCATCCATGGATTTTCTCTTAATAATCTAAGCTTCTAGGTCAAGATAATGGGCGTGGTATCAGAACCTCTTTAATTCAATGATCAAAAGATCATTGAGACCTCACAACCTGCAGCTCCAAATTTCAGAACAATCTCCAGGACCAAAAGCACTTCCATATGAGAGAGATATTTTAAAGATGAATGGCATTCCTCAGTCTTCTCACAGGTTATGGCTATTGAAAATTGCATTGCTTCATGTAAAGAAAAAAGAAGCTTCCTCATATAGCTGCTAGTTGTTTCAGATTTTGAAATATTGCATAATGAAAATTTTGGATTAAAAGTTCAAAGTATCAAGTGATTCATCTCACATATAGACCTAACTTGCAGGCTTCATAAAACCAACCACCTTGTCAGTCAAATATTATGCGTTCCTCCTTTTAGGCTAAGAAGCACTATATTTAATGGTGCATGGTTGAATGCGCATATGGGCATTTTGCTTGTATCCTTTAGATAAGTTCATTTGTATATCCTTTGTGAATACCAACAATCTTTATTCATGTATGGAATTCTATTCTTCAGCTCTTGGTCAACATCAACATTGTCTGCCTCTTATCTACCAGAATTGAAGTCCATTACCTTCATAAAATATACTCCCTCCAGTTTCAAATAAGTCACCAATAATTACCTCACCAAGATTAAGAAAAATAGTTAGATTCATTAAATTTGTTTCAAATTAAATGTTTTCCCAAAAATGGCCCTAATTAATTAACTTAAATATATTCTCACTCTCCCTCTTGTTCTTGGTGAGAAGACTTGACTATGTAGTTAATGAAGGGCACTTGTGGAATAAAATAATAAATTCTCCAGACATTTAGATAGGGGCCCTATACTTTAGACCAATCCAAAACTGTCTTAGATGCCCTATATGTGACTGGAAGGAATATTAAATTAAATTTTAGAGTTCAAGTATCATTTTGGCTCCTACTATTATCATGTCAAAAAACAAACTAATCAGGTTTTAACCATGAATTTCCAATGCAGCATTAACTTGATGAGTCTAATATATGATATATTATTGATATGTACTACACCAAACTCCAATCAGCAGTCTGTACACATAAAACAAAGCCAAACGAAGCATAATAATCATGAAACTGCACTACTATCAATGAAGTTACCTAACCAATCAGGGTAGAAAATTACCTGCAAATGCAGAACTTCTGATAATGGCATCTTCTTCAGGTGAGGAACAGTCAGAAGTTGAGACGGTGTCTGTCCAAAATATGCAATCTGATCTTGTGTGGCACGCTGTTGTACCTTTTTATTGGCATGTGCAAAAGAGAAATATCAAGTTGTGATTTGCAAAACAGATTTGCTACAGCCAAGGACAAAAGCAAGGAAGTTGGTTTCAAGCCAATGTTTTAACAAACGCACTCCATATAGAATCCTATAATGCACAATGCTTCCTTAACCATTACAGTCAGTGGAAAGAAATTCATGTTAATATTCCCGATAGGTTAAGCAATTAAGATTGACTTGATTAACAGATCATCATCCTAAGAGATTGTCCTTCGATAAATTGATAGAAACTACTATGCTTGTTGGGTTCATTTCCTAGCCTCCATGGTAGTGTTAATCCAGATCCCATTACCAGAGTGTATGTTTGGTTGGCTTTTTCATGGTAAAAGGCATTGTCATAGCAATCCTAATTGCACATTTTTTGGCAATAAAATTCACGGCAGAGACAGATGAATGGTGATTATCACCCTCTGGTTATGAGATGTCATTTTTGCCCTCAGTATCCAATCTGAAATGATACAAATTACCCTCCAAATTAAGTCAATTGGATATCCCTCCCTTTTCTTCTTTCCCTTTCACCTCTTCTACCATTGACTGTCTCCACCAAAGCCAGACCATCTCCATCTTCACCTTCCCTAGCATTGCTCATCTGTCCTCTTCAGCATCACCCACTCCATAGGTCACATTGTCTTGTTCTTCATCAGATCGTGTTGTTTCTCCTGGTGAGCCCACCTATCTTCATCAATCATGTTGGTTCTTCACCATCACATTTTTTAAATCTAGTCCTTGGGGTCCTCTTTCTCCATGGATTTCAATCAGGTCTGCATTTCTTGCTAAATCTTCCACTTGTATAGTCTTTGTTGATCACTTCTAGAAACTCATTCCTGATCCAAATCTATTATCTCTGGGAGTTTTTTCCCCTTTTCATTTTTCTTTTTAAATAAGTATGAATGAACCTAATTGACTTGATTCTGGTTGAATTAACCTGATTTTTGTCGAATGGGTTAGGTTGGCTTAATCTTATTTTGATTGAGGAAGAAGAAGAAGAATTTAGGTAAAGGAGTGAGAGTTGTCGTTGTTGTTGTTGTTGTTATTGGGTCTAAGAACAAAGTTGAAGCTTGAAAAAGAATGAAGAATATGTTGGTCGCTCAACCGAAGAAAAGACATCCATTGTTGGTAAACAAAAGTCAACTGTTCGTGGTTAACATAACACCTTCCTTTGGGGGTAAACAAGGGGGGGAAAAATATCAATGAGTGGTTATAGAAAACAGGCAAGGAGCTAATGAAGAACTTTACACCCCACTAAAGCAGCTCGAGAAGAAAGAGTACTGAATTGCCATTTATGCCTTTCCAAGCACCACCATTTGCCAAGTTCACCTTAAGACCAGAAACATCCTCAAGAATTCTCATAACAGTAAAGCATTTTACAAAATACCCCAATCTCATTCCGGAAGAATAAACAGTATCATAGGCAAACTGATAATGGGACTCCACAATCTCTTCTGTTCCACCTGAATACCCCTTATTAGGTCTCTATCATCTACCCTTATGATTCATTCAAATAAACACATAAACCACTATTCTAAACAAAGGGACGCTGGGTTCCCCAACTGCACTGCTCATTGTCCAAAAAGCCAACACTTCTGTCCCCACAATCTATTCAATTTTAAGAAATTATTCATTGGAATATTATATTGCCTAGTGCATCATTCATGCAAATCATTTCTCAAATAGCAATTGATTAAATTTGATGAGCAACGGAGACTTACTGGGTCAGAAATTTTATCAATATCCACTGCTCCTTCATAAGTAATATAAAAGAAAACATTATTTGCTGCAATAGCTTCTTTTCCTCGTTGCTTGTACCTACAAGGTCCAAATCATTTATGTAGATGCAAGCAGCAAATCATCAATGAAACCCACAAGAAAAATGTAAACCTAAACAGAGAGTAATTCAGATCCAATTATTGACATCACAAGCGTAAATGTGCAAATTACAAAAAAGAAAGCATACACACATAGACATAGTCAAAACCTACCCGAAGATAAGGTCAATCCACTCATGCAAATGAGCAGATGCATACTCACTCTCGAGAGCCATCTGATGCTTATGAATGAAATCAATAGGATTCTCAGCCCAGGCAGGAAGTTTAACAGCATCTAGTATGACAGGAGAAAATAAAAAGGAGATCAATCAATGCTTTCATGTGAGTGAAGCTCATCCCAAATAACAAACACAAAATCTCAATGAGCATACCAAGCTTTTCTCCCAATTGTGTAGTGCCAAAATCAATTAAATTTCCATTTGTGAGAGCCTCAGGGAGATAAAATAGCTCAGGAACCTATTGTAAATTGAAAACCAAACTGATTAAGATACAGGTTAAAACTAACCAACATATGCATTTCATATGAAAGCAATCTGATTGAGATTATATCATTACGGAAGAACTTTCATAAGCCTTCATTTATGTTTTTGATTAGGAATTGTCCTCCACATAGTACCATTAAATTTCCCAGAACTAATTTTCATTGAAGAAAAGAAACAGTACATCAATACGTAAAAGGAGAATTAAGGTAGCTCATCTACTTGAAAATCATGGAGAAGAATCAGAAAAGATTAATTGAAAATAATATCCTAAGTATTCTGAAAAAAAAAAAAAATCACAAATGATAATGCTAAATTGAAACAACAATTAGGTTTAAAAATAATGGGCTTAATATTAGGTCTGCAGATCACAAACATGCCTGACCTATATTACCAAGTGGTTACAGGTTAAATCCTCAGATTCAACCCCATTAAGTATCAGCATCTTGTGTGGTTATCCTGTGGTGAAGTTTAAGCCAAAGCGTTTTAATGGTGACAGAATCAAGCACATTCAATTCAAATGCCTAAAATCTCTAATGAGCGTCCTCATCAAAGACTCTTCAGGATAACAATGTGGACAAACACAAGTCCCCCATATGTCAGGTGAAAACTTGAATAGATGCCAAAGGCTTTGATACAATAAGGACCACGTTAGAACTTATTCAAATTAAATGAGGGATTCTTGAATAGTTCCCCCTTACAGGCTTTCCCAAGGCCCCATTCAACCAACCAAAAAAAAAAAAAAAGATAACACCTACTTTTAACAAACAAGTAGATCAAGCAATCAATTTTTGTGAACGATAAATAAACTTATACCAATTCTTTGACATCACTCATGTCCTCAAGAACTCCATTCCAGGTAGCACCAATGTCAGAAAACATCCTATCAGCATGATCAAATTTTCCTCCTTGCAGTTGGATAGCAAGGGTGGTAATGGTTCAACTCGAACAAGATAATACAAGACCTGCAAAAAATATATATATATTATTGATCAGAAAATCCAAAACCAGAAATTTAAAAGCAGTCAGGTTCACCAAAAAAATAAAGAAAGGGCAAAAAAAGAACTTTGATGGGTACCCAAGTATGGTAGGGAAGCCTTTCACAAAAGTTAGCTGTTGAGGTGGGAAAATGATGAACCAACATCTATTTGGGCCATGTCTACAACAACAACAACAACAAGCCTTTATCCCACTAGGTGGGTCGGCTACATGGATTGCAAGACGCCATTGTGCTCTATCATTTATTAAGCTTTTAGAAATATTATTAATTAAGAGATCACGTTCAACAACTTCCAAGAGTGTTCTCTTAGGCCTTCCTCTACCTCTCTTAATCGGACTCAAAGTTATATGTTCCACTCTTCTCACTGGTGCCTCCCTTGGTCTTCTTTGTACATGCCCAAACCATCTCAACCGATTTTCTACCATTTTTTCCTCAATAGGTGCCACCCTCACTTTTTCACGTATGTGCTCATTTCGAATTTTATCTTTACGTGTATGTCCGCACATCCATCGTAACATTCTCATCTCTGCTACTCCAACTTTATGCTCTTGCTGTCCCGTTAGAGCCCAACATTCACTACTATATAACATTGCCGGTCTGATAGCAGTACGATAAAACTTTCCTTTAAGTTTATTAGGCACCTTACGGTCACAAATAACTCCTTTAGCTTTTCTCCAATTAAACCACCCAGCTTGAATTCTATGTGAAATATCTCCACTGATTTCGCCATCATTTTGAATAATGGCTCCCAAATATCTAAACTTTTCCACTTGAGGTATAATTTGATCTCCCAATTTCACTTCCAAATTATTTTCGAATAGTCCTTTACCAAATTTACAATATAAATATTCCGTCTTACTTCTACTCAGACGAAAACCTTTCGACTCCAATGTCCTCCTCCATAACTCAAGTTTGCAATTAACCTCTTCTCTTGTCTCTGCTATAAGAACTATATCATCCGCGAAGAGCATACATTTCGGGATTTCCTCTTGAATATGTTCCGTCAAAACATTTAAAATCAAGTTGAACAAATAAGGACTCAGAGATGATCCCTGATGTAGTCCAATCTTTATAGGAAAATCCTTTGTTTGACCACTAGGCGTTCTTATACTAGTTTTTACCCCCTCATACATATCTTGTATGGCTTTAATATAAGCAATCCGTACTCCCTTTTTTTCCAACGCTTTCCAAAGCACTTCTCTTGGTATACGTCTGTGAGAGGAAAAAGAAAGAGCCAAAACTGATGATAAATGCATAAAGGAAAAACTAAGGAAGGCCCAAGAAAATATCAGTGTTAAGGTGGTAGATGAAGGGCAGAATAGGAATTAGGAGGGAGTCAACAATTTTGTCTGTATGTGTATGATTTGGGGGAAAGAGTGTGAGCCGCCTAGGGTGTGTTATATTAAGCCAAAACAGGAAGGAGAGAGAACCTGACTCTCATAAATCCAAGGATGCTTAATTTCCTTTCCATTTTCATTTTTTCTCAGCCCAGATCACCATATACACTAAGCGCAATGCTGTTTCATTAATAAGAGCCAGACAACTAAAGTATTCCATAGTACTTATCACTATGGGACTGAGTGCAAGCCTCATCCTACTAAGTAAATTCAGTCACATATATTGCATGACAGCATTTCGCTCTATCAACAGCCAACTTTTCAAGAAGAATGACGTTTAAGACCCACTAAAATGATGTTTTGACAATGGAGTCCCACAAAATGAGCAAATTGCACTACAGTCCCAACAGACTTTTCTAACATTAAGTTTTGTAGTTCAATTACCATATTGCCCTTGATTTGAAAATAAAAAAGGGCCACAAAACACTCCCTCTAAACAATTAGTTCATAAAGAATCATAACTTCTCTTATAATAAATATCAACCAAACCTCATGATTGACAACCACTATCTACAAAGTCAGCTTCAAGTTTCAAGTCTACTGAGTAACTTGTAACTTGGAGCTAAATGACAAGTAGCTCATAAGGAATAACAACTTCGATTATAATGAATGACAACTAAAAGCACATGATTGACAACTGCTATCACAAAGCCATCTATAGGATTTGAAGTCTATTAAGTGACATGGAGATGAATGACAAGTACCTCATAAGGAATAACAACTTAATTTATGATCAATATCAACTACTCCATGATTGACAACTTCTATCCAGAAAGTTAGGAATGACAAGTAACTTGGAGCTGAATGACAGGTACACTATTAGGAATCCTGACTTCGCTTATAATAAACAACTACTACAAAGTAGTGGGATCAAATTAATATACGATCTAACTCAATTTTAGAAAATTGAAATTAACTTTGTGAATAGTAGTTGTCAATCCTGAGCTTTTAGTTGTTATTTATTATAAACGATGTTATTATTCCTAATAATGTGCTTGTTATCCAGTTTCAGGTTACTCATTACACTTAAAATCCTTCTGCATGATATTTGTCAATCCTGAGCTTGTAATTGTTATCATTATACTGACATTGTTATTCCAAATAACATACTCATCATTCAACTTGACGTTACCTGGTAGACTTGAAATCCTAAAGCTGATTAGATGGTAGTTGTCAACCATGAAATTGTTGTTATTTCTTATGATCTACTTGTCATTCAACTCCACATTACTCAACAGACTTATCTTGAACTAGCTCTATATATAGTAGTTGTCAATCATAAGGTTTTAGCTATTATTCATTATAATCAAAATTGTCATTCCTCAATGATCTACAGGTCATTCAGCTGCAAGTTAATCATTTAGAATTAAATACTGAAGCTGACTTTGCAGATGGCAGTTCTCAATCATGAGGTGCTAGTTGTTATTCATTATAAGCAAAGTTGTGATTCCTTATGAACTACTTGTAATTCAAAGGGAAAATTTTGTGGGCATTTTTTATTTTCAAATTAAGGGCAACATAATGATTGAGCTGTAAAGCTTACTGTTAGAAAAGTCCCTTGGGACTACAATGCAATTTGCTCATTTTTTGGGACACCATTGTTAGAAAAGTCCCTTGGTATAAGGCTTGTTGCTATTGTTGTGGTTGGATGCCATTGTCAAAATGCCATTTTATCAGGCCTTAATTGTCATTCTCCCAACTTTTTATATGTATCATTAACAAAAAGATATTGTTCACCAATGTCTTTTGAGTGTTCTTATTGCTATATGGTAGTTGGGCAGTATAAGGACAATAAGAGCATGAAGTTAGGGTAGTAAAAATGAGGATATTAAGATGGATGTATAGTCATACAAGAAAAGATAAGATTCATATAACCATATATGACGAAAAGTTAGGCTGGCATCTAACAAGGAGAAGATGGTAGAAAACCACTTAAGGTGATTTAAACATGTAAAAAGAAAGCCATTAGAGATGCTAATGGAGAGGGTTGATTAGAGGGTCTTAAGGCAGACGAAGACCAAGAAGAATGCTAAGGAAGTTATTGAGTGGGACCTTTTGGTGAATGGTTTATCTAAAAAGCTGGTTGTTGATAGAACATAGTAACGTAATGCTATCCATTTAGCCTACTCCATTTAGTGGGATAAGGCTTCTTGTTGTTTGGCAAATACCTTGCAATCACAAACAAATCCCAATGCCTTTTCTCCATTTTAACAACCAGACTTGTATCCTATAGGTAACATCCCCATCAATTTTCCCATCATTTTGTATTACTGATCCCAAGTACTTGAACTTTGATGGCTATGGTATGGTCTAATCTCCAATTTTTACCTCCAAATCTTTTGTAACTTGCCTTTTTATGAAAGATGCAATACATATATTGAATCTTACTTTTATTCGGGAGAAAACCCTTTGATTCAAAAGTCCATCTCCATAACACAAGTGTAGCATTAACCTCTTCTCTAAACTTCTGGGAAACTAATTGCTAATTAGGGGTGAATTAGTGATTAATGGATTAATTGTGGTTTTGATGATAAATTAGTGTTTTGACTGGTTGGGGTATTGAATGAATAGAAACAAATGTTCAAAGTAATGTGTGCGAGTAGCAGCGAGATTCTACTCATTGTGCCACATGCTACGACATGTATTGTATGCGCTGTAACGCATGGCACAAAATTTAGACAAGTCAAACATGCCAACTCGTGACAATCAGAAGGAGAAGGGAGAGAAAACGCACGAGAGGAGGAAGATCTGTTGTGCCAGGGCATCAAATATTGAAGTACTGGAAGTCAGTTATCCAATCATATAGTGTTTGTTAAAGTCAAGGGAAGCAAGAAATGTGTCGTTATTGTCTATGTTGATGACATAATACTCATCGAAGATCACTTTGAGGAGATAGAGAGAGTGAAGGCTGCCCTTAGAAAGGAATTTGAAGTCAAGGATCTACGGACGCTAAAACACTTTCTTGGGATGGAAGTTGCCAAGTGAAGAAGAGGAATCTATGTTTCTAAGAGAAAATATATACTTGATCTCCTGATGAAGACAAGTACGTTGGGCTGTAGACATATTGAAACCCCCATTGAGGTCAAGAAATTAAAGAAGAAGCTTAAGGTAAATAAGGAAGGTGAAGAACAAGAGGAAGTCAAAGATAAGGAAGAAGCAACTAACAAAGAGAGATATCAAAAGCTCATTAGAAAACTAATAAATCTCTCTTATATGAGGCCAACTACAGCCTTTGCTGTTAGTATAGCCAGTCAATATATGAGTTGTCTAATGAAGAGTCATATGAAGGCAGCGTACAGAATCTTGAGACCTCTAAAAGGTACTCCTGGTAGAGGTTCGTTCTTTAGAAAACATGAGTAAAGGTCCATTGAAGTTTACACCGACACAAGTTAGAGTGGAACTTATAAAGATCAAAGATCAACCTCCGGCTACTATTCATTTGTGTGGGGAAAATTAGTGACATGGAGAAGCCAGAAGCAAATAGTTGTTTCCAAAAGCAATGCTAAATTGGAATTAAGAGCTTTAGCTTAAGGAATTACTAAGGAGTTATGGCTTAAACGAGTCTTGAATGAGATACAGGTTGGAGCATGCTCACTATTAAGCTCTACTGTGATAATAAGGCTGCCATAAGCATGGCCTTAAATCCAATAAAACATGACAGGTCTAAATATGTTGAGATTGACTGACATTTCATCACATATTTGCTTACAAAGTTGCAAGCTGCTGATGTTTGACTAAAAGGTTACTTGGACCTGCATTTAAGAATTGCACAAGCAAGTTGGACATAATTAGCATCTATGATCCGCTTGAGGAGGAGTGTGAGAATATTAGACATTTATTGTAAATATTCTTAGGCTTTATTAGTCTTTATTAGTAGTTATTAGTAATTATTATTATTTTCTCATCCCAGTGTATAAAAACCTAGTTGTATTTCAATATTTTGTATCGATAAGAAATATTTTTACTCAAATTCCACATGTGTATGCATGAGAAAATAATGCCCTAGTCTAAAATAAAGGCTTGTGGCCCTATTTTGTGTAAGGGTAAGAAGTCATGGTCCAAAGTGTTGATTATAATCCACTAGCAGAACTCAGGAGTGCATGAGCATTCATATGTGATTAAAGGTAGGAGTTCACCTTATGGAGTTGTGTAAACCATGATCCTAACGCATGTGACGCCAATGCCCTGTGAACCACAGCTAACAAGCATGGTTGGGTTACTCCTTGTCACTATGTGAGTGATTGGTAGAAGAGTATTTATTTGACACCCTACTGATTGGTTAGGGAGAATCCATAGTCCAAAGGTGGTTAAGAGATATTGGCCCTATTTCCCCCACTAAGGTGAGCTTAGACTAACCAAAAAGGTTCTATGTATAGCTTATAGGTTCAGTCAAGAGATCTGGAATTTGGTGGATTCCAGTGAAACAAGCTCATTCATTTGATCTGTGCATTATATCTTACCTATGCTTGAATTATTGCGAAAATGATACTAATCTATCTCCTGTGTATAATTTTATCCGTTAATCGGTGCTTGACTTTATTCAATTTACTAGGACCTATATCTCACTCTATTACTTCATGTTACACAGGCTGAGACCTCTAAGAGGCCAAGAAAGGAAACATGAGAAGAGTAGCTACGTTACTACAATTGTAATGCTACTCTTTAATAAATGAATGTACATTTGTATATAAAGTGTTTGAGTTGCCAACTAAGATGCATACATGTATACTTTGTTTTGGTGACTTGCTTGTACTGTTTTGTGTGCATCTTTGCCATTTGTGTAAGCGTGCATAAATGTGAATATGTGGACGGCTTAAATGCCATTACAATCAATTGTGTAAATGTGTTATTTTGTGAAATCTTGGCTCATAATATGTGCAAAGTGATATTATCCTAACTTGTGGTGCCTAAAATATAGGTACCTATGCAAAGAGAGGTGTTAGCTAATGAGCAAGATTTGTGAATGTTAAGCATTCAACTTGTTCCACTAGTGTGTATGTGTTTTGTGATATTATCTAAGTGTGTATGAATCATGTGGCTTGTGAATTTTGACTAAATGGTGAAACTTAGCCCTATTTGTGTAAGTCAAGTATAGATGATAGAACAAGTGTTCTTGTGTATAAATGATAGTGTTGTGATAAAGCTTAGTGTACATGTTTCCTCATGTAAGCCCACATGTGTGAAAGGTAGCGTTGAAAGTTCAAATTGTGTGTATGACATGTGATATGTGATATAATATGCTAATCAAGTGTATTTAGTCCTTTTGAACTTGGTTCAAGGCTCAAAATGATCTAATGAGGCAAGGTGTTAAATTTGAACACTGAGGGTGCTTGGTTTTGTAAAAAAATGACTTTTACACCCGAGTGTCCAAATTGAGGTTGCACCGTCAGATCATTCCCGAACTTGTCTCATTAGGTAACTTGTCTTACGAGTTTTGTGTGAGCACTTAAATCACTCTAATCGGAGATCGTGTGTGAAGATGATGCACATTGGAAGTTTGATGGAACTCTACTGCTAAACAGATAAATATGCAGAGATAATAGAGATTAATGACCAACAAATCAGGAGAAATACTGGGGTTTGATAATAATAATCCCAAAAGGCTGAATCAATGTTACAAAAGACACTTCATCGATTCAAACAAACCCTATTCTCAAGTTACAGCCGGAACTCACAACACTACTATGGAACCCAAACACATGCAATGCTATCTAAGCATGCCCTCTGGTTTTTGAGAGCCAGTCTCTCCCTTGAACAAAACCCAAAAGTAATGACTACTCTCCCCCAAATGAAACTAACGGCTACTATAACCCAAAAGCAAAGTGCATAGTCTCCCACACCAAGTTCTGCTAAAGCAGACCTAAAACCACTATGAGTCAATACTAGGTTTGACTAGCTTTCTCCTAAAGAGTAAGGAGAGCAAGGTCAACATTCTGCCCCTTAGAAAGATGCTTTCCCTTTTCTTGTATTTTTCTGAATCTCCTCTTATAGGTTTTTCCAGCAAAACAGAGTCTATCAAAGTTCATGTTAATTGCTGTAATGACAACAAAATCTAATACATGCGTCATGGCGCATGACACAAAGCTGGAACTCGTGGCTCTATACCACATGCCGCAGCAAATGGCACATTTTGGGAAACATAATTGTTTTAATCCCTATTTCAAGGGTATAGTGACTATGGTTTCTTAAGTTCCTTTGTTGAGCAGTAATCATATATTTGAGTGTTTTTAACTTAAAGTCGGAATCCCACATCTTCAAAATAAATTAAGTATTTGTGTTGTGGTGCTTGTAAGTAAAGCCCGTGGTGTATCAATGGGACTTTATAGATGATCTGTGATGTAAACCAATCTTGATAAGAATTTCCTTTGTCTCACCTCTAGCTGCTCTCACACTAGTTGTTACCCCCTTATGCATGCCTATATATGCAATACAAAAACCTTTATATTTTGGGGCTCTCCATAGCACTTGTCTTAGTACTCGATCATAAGTGTTTTCAAGGTCAACAACCCAGGAAATTATCTAGAAGAAACTAATTGCAACCTCCCTATTCCCACACTATCCTTTTCCAAAAATTCCTACATATGCAAAGGAGGACCATACAACACAACTAATCCAAAACCCTACTTCTAACTATATGTCAATGAGCAAAATTATTCCCTTCTTTGTATGCGTCACTGAATTGCTTACTCCAACTTCCACCAGCCTCTCCCCGCAAAGGGTCAAAGAAGGGTCAAAGAACGATTCAACGTACTTCCATTTGACCAATTCATTCAGCATGCCCGTCTCTTGAGAAATACAATAACACTTAGCTTCCTTGCAGATCAAATCAAGGACAGAACCAGTACAAAAAGTTTAGGGGGAAAGAGTGAAAATTGATAATTATTAAAATTATTTTAAGTATTTGCTAGATAAGAATAGTTACAAAACTCATCAAAATTTTGAAGTTAAGATACTTTATAGCAAGAATAAGAGACTACAATAATATCTCAATATAAAAAATTTAGGTCTTAAAATATTATTAATTGTTGAATCATCTAATTCAATATTTATCAATTGAATAGAATTCTTCTATAATTTATGTAATAAATTTTTAATCATTAAAACATATGCAATGAGATATGCAGCAAACAATTTTATTTTTTACTTATTATAATAAAGCTGAAATTTTTCGAGAGGTAGAAAGTATAATTAAAGAAATAGGAAAGAAATAGATTTTATTAAAGAGTGACAATAAGAGTAGTGTATGCTATAAGTATTTGAAGTATGCTTCTAAGAATATATATATTTAAGACTTTAAAATATTAATGAGAATAGATAAATATTATAGGAAAATTCAAATTTGTTAAAAAGGTATTATACGTATAATACATATAAAACAATATTAAATTACTTAGTTATGGGGAGAAGATAATATGTCTTCCAAAATAATAAAAAGATGTTTTGAAATTATTTTTTTTCAATTAATTTCGTCTGCAGTGTGTGCCTGGCTGCTGCTATGTAGACAACATGAGAAAGCGAAGTAAAAAACCTTAGGGGGTGAGGACAATTGCTTATATATACATATATGGTCTTGGGAAACGGTTGCCCCTTAATGAATATATGTAGTACCGTCCCTGATCAACCCTCCACAGTTAGCACTTCTTCGAAATTGCTGGTTACTACCTCTGATACTGATTCATGGGCCAAAAGAGGATAGGAACCAATCTCAAAAGTGAGCAATTGAAGTGAGACAATACCCACTTAAATATACCAAAAAGCATCCCATGCCACACAATGTATAACTTGAGAATCATATACTACTTTGGTTTCCATCAGATTCAAAATTAAACTAAAACAACTTGACCAGGAGTGCATTATTAACAGTGATGTCACAGAGTAAACAAACTAGCCCAAGATCCAACTTCCAACAACGAAAATGCAATAGCAGATACATACAGAGCACACTGCAATATGAACAATCTACAATGATAAAAATGGTCAAAAATGCAGGAAAATGAAGGGAAGACCCACCGTTCCTGCACTCGAATAGTGTGATCCATAATGGAATTTGGGAATGATTGGATCATCAAAGTTAGCGTATCTCTCTTGAAATTTTTTAAGTCGATCAGAGTTCAGTGCACCAACAGGCTGCAACAAAATCAAATGCTTTGGTAGCAAATAAAAAGAATACAAAATAAGAAAAACATTAACTGCTTGAGGGAACATTCAGGAAAAGAACCTTTGACAGATCTCGGTAACAAGAAGGATTAGAAAGATCCAAGCTCTTTGAACTGTAATCAGAAAGAACCCAGGGGAAAACTGGATACTGCCAGGTATACATTGCAGTGATACATTATTAAGGGAATAAAGATAGGTGCAAGAGATTAAGAATACAAAGTAATGCATTAAAAATGAAGATCAACCTGAGTGATATCATTATAACTACGCCCAGCCAATGTATTGAGCTGCATTAAATATTCAAAATTGCTGATCTGCACAAGGAAAACATGAATTTCATATACTTCTGAGGATGCAAACCAAGAAACAAAGCATATTTAATGAATTAAGGCATGCTTCATACCTCCCACCTAGCCCAGCGCTCCATAAGTTGAGTTCTTTTTAAAAGTTGTTCAGGTCTCTGCAAAAACAAAAAGGTTGGTTTTTTATATTCTTGGACCAAAAAGATCAATCCTTTATCAAAGATTAAACTGCAGAGAACATGAAAATGGAACTGAAATTTATTTACTAAAATTTATTTACATAAATACTTATCATAAGACAAGACAGAATGAGAGGGAAAAAAGGGGCAATGAAAGGGAATAATATAGTCATTGAAAGGAATCAACCTGCGTTGCCAAATATATGTTGTTTAAATGTGGAGGACGTGCTTGGACAATTGCTCGATATGCATTTCTTCGGCCCTCAATACTCTGAAGAGGAAAAGAGGAAAGAGACAGGTAAAACATAGGATTATCAAGTACCAATGCTGAATTATCAGTAAAATAATCAGAATAATATGGCAATTGAGAGTACTAAATAAGAAGCACATCTAATCAGTACCCCAAAGTCAAAGAAAAAGTTTGATCGATCAACCATAAAGAGCTCCAAAGCACTTCTTCTAAGGAGATATCTGCAGCAGAAATCAACACTCAAATCGACTGGACTAAATCTTCAAAAGAAGATAATTCAACTTTTAAGCACGAAAAAATATATTCTATTGTTTTATAGAAGAAATTTCCAGATGGTTCATAAAATGCATGAGAAGAGGATAAGATATCCTCCTGAATAAGAAAACTAATAAGTAAAGAGAACTAGACAGAGAAGCAGAGATATCAGAGACATGCCACAAAATAAAAGCAAGGAGGAACCCCTGAAAATCAAGCGTTTCCCACCAACCAAATTTATTTGCAATTTTACAAGATTTCATCATTATCAAATCTACTCTGTGCTGACGTCCAAACAAACAACTTCAACTTTAAAGGAGCATCAAGCTTCCAGATGGATTTCCAAGGAACAAAAATGTCCCTAGCAAGTAACTTGATGAAAATAAAAAAGATTACAAATTAGGAGAATTGATGGACTAGACTCTCCTGCCTAAAGTAGAAGATAGAAAGGGCAAAGGGATTCCATTATATTGATATCTTACCAATAAGACCTCAGATGCTCCATTCTGTGCATCATATGGCTGGATAGGTCAAAATAACCGAATATAGTCCAAGCATAAAATACATTTGGTTGACACAGAATTTTATAAGCTTATAGTTAGCACTTGACCATACAACGTTCTCCATCAAGAGGAAAGGGATAAGCCATGATAAGTAACATTTTATAATTTTTTTAACAGCAGATATTATTTTTCTTTACCGTTGTCAAATTACCTTGTCATCAAAATTACACCCTCATGCACCATTGTCTTTTCAACAACTACCTGTACCATCACCACCACAACTAAAAGAAAACTACCCTAGTTGCATATGTGGATTTATAATAATTGCATATGGAAGAAAAAGAAATAGAGAAGCTGAAGATGATTGTTGGTAGTAAATTTTAAGAATGGTAGCAGTGAAGAGGAAGATGCGTAGTCTAATTTTCCAAATAAGTAAACTCCAATCAAAAGAAATAGGGATACTTAATAGCAAACTTGAAGAAACTCAGGCCTTGTTTGGTATGATGAAAGAGTTTCTGACGAAATTGAGATCAAAATCAAAATAGGAAATGGAATAAAATTGAGTTATAAAAGTATATTTGATATTCACATGGAATCCGTGTATTATTTATTATTTAGTATGCATATTTATATATTAAATGACTAAAATAACCCAGATAAAAAATATCTCCTTCCACAGTTGAAGACAAATCAGTGAAGACCCAGCACCATGCCCCTCTGCACAAAAATCCTTTAATCATTGACTTCAGGGTAAAATTTCAAGCCAAAACCGATAACGCACTCTTCAGATTTAATTGTCTGAAGTCCATGATTCAGAAACCAGAGAACATCAACAATGTCTGGAACAGATAAGGGAGGTAAGGGTCTCAGAAAAGGTGGAGCCAAGTGTCACCATAAGGTTCTGAGGGATCTCAGAAAAGGAGAAGCCAGCAGAGTTAAGCGAAACAGCTGGTTGGTGGAAGACTATCACTGCCATGGATGTTGTGCTCAAGTTTTTGCTGGAACAAAAAAGGAAAAACTTGAACCTAAAAGATCTCGAGATAGCAACAGAACAAAAGAAATTGAACCAAAACTACAACAAATAACATGATTGAACCTGGAGAAGCTTTTTGTGTTGTTGCAGGTGATGGTTCGTTAAAGGCTGGAGGTTGAAGGTCAATGGTGACAACAAAGGTTGAAGCTCGATGTCAAATTGGTTGGAGAGGGCAAAATAGGGGACCATGGAAAAGAATTGGATTCTTTAGGGGAAACGAAGGAATCTGATTCCAAGGATTTTGTCAAATTAAGGATTCTTAAGAATCTTAAATGTGTCATACCAAAGAAGCAAAGATCAAGATTCCATGTCTGATTCAATTTCCTTACTCTCAATTCCTGGATACCAAACAGGGCCTCAAGTAGATTTGAATACAAAACTGAAAAAGCTTGTAGATGGAATTGGTTAGGAACCAATGAAGTTCTCTAACTAAAACTTGGAACAATATAACAACAACAACGCAATAACAACAACCCTTATCCTACTAAATGGAATTAGCTATATGAATCGTACAACACTACTACAATTCGCCAAAAAATCTCAATTGATAACTTCCTTAAGTGTCCTTTACCCACCTCACTAGAGCCTTTGTCAGCCTTCTTTATAAAGACTAAATCAACTTAAAAAAATCTCCACCATTTTCTCCTTGATAAGTGCTGAGATAACTTGTCCTCTTATATAGTCATTACAAATCTTATCTTTTATGCTACCCTATCTTGTTAACTTTTTAATATCCAACATTCACTACCACATAATATTGCTACTCTTGCAGCAATTTGATAAAACTTCCCTTTAAACTTAGTAGAAACTTTGTGATCACAAATAATATTGATGCCTTCATCCATTTCAACCACCAGCTTGTAGCATGTGTAACAACTCCATCAATTTCACTATCATTTTATAGTATCAATCCCGAATATTGTCACTAGTGGTTTGGTCTGATTTGTAATTTTTACATCCAAATCATCTCAAACTTGCCAAAGCATGTATTTCATCTTGCTCTTACTCAAGCTAAACCAATCGTGGATATTGAGTATTTTTAACTATTCCACTGAAGAAATACTAAGGTTACAAGATCCAACTCAACACCCCTATAACACCCAACATACATATATACAGCAACAAAAACACGGATTAAAGAAAGGTTCAAGTACTCCTGCCCCGTAACACTAAGCTACAATAGTGCAAAAGGTTCAATTGAAGCAGAAAGTGAAGAAATGGAAAACAATACAAAATACAAAGACAGAAAATGAAGAGAGTAGACTCCAATCAACTCACTAGATAAGAAACTAGCAAAATTTTGGGATATTGGTTCAGAGATGATTCTGGGTTTATCTGCTTGTCATCATAGGTATGTAGAGAATCTACTAAATAAATTTAGTACAAGCAATTCAGCTTCTGCTCCAACTCTGATGGCCCTAGAAAAATGCTAAGAACGAGTGTACCTCTAAGGTGCTACAGTCCTGTTGGATGCCTTTAGTATCTTAGGCACACAAGTTTAGACATCAATTTTGCAATTAATAAACAAAGCCAATTTAGTCAACCAATTGAAGAGCACTGACAAGGAGTTAAGAAAATGCCACAATATCTCAAAGTCACATTGAGATTGGGAATTCTCATCAAACCTAGTCGAAATTTGACACTCTATAGGTTATCTGATGATTGGGCTGCCTGCCAAGATGATAGGTGAAGAAATTGGCTGAACCCTTAATGATTTTCAGTCTGATGATGAATATTATTGCTTATAGGTGAGTTTATAAGCAGAGACAACAAGCCTGCCTCCTTAGCCAAAAAAATCTAGGGTAAATCAATAACATCTGTTTAGATTAAATATCTAATGATTCTCTCCTAAAAAAAATAAAAAAAATAATTGTATAGAAATAATAGCAATGAAACAAAAAATAAAAAAATAAAATAAAATAAAAACTGTGGTCAGTTTTAAAAAAAAAACCCTAATTGAATGTCAACACTTTCCATCTCTAATAAGGAGAATGACGCTCTTTAACAATGGGCAATACGTTGCAGGTTATCATGCCATTACTGAGGTCCTATTTCAGTAGCAATGGAGTCCAATTGAGGATGCAATATGGATGATTTGGTTTGACTATCAGAGAAAATTTCCAGCTTATGCTAAGCAGTATCAGCTATTGGGAAAAGGGTGTTCTTGAGGGGGAAGGTTATAAACTTATGATGCAGATCATCTCAAGGGATGGGGTTAAGTTGTTCTTTCTATATCAAAAAATCGAGATATTTTAGTCAATTTGTGATTTCATCCGTTGGTCTTCAAGTATAAATTGAAGCATTTGAGTTAGTTGCAATAAGTTTTGAGCAATGGAGTCATGAGAAAGAGGAAGTTTTGAATCTATGAAATATGATTCTTCTCTATTCTCTATTTCACTGTCTCTCCCTTGCTCTTCTTTATTCATATTAGAGGATCTAAAGCTCCAGAAGATTTTAGGACTGCAAAATATTTCCCAACTCTTGTGCTGATTAAAACTATTTCCTCTTGGACAGATATTACGTAAGTTAATTTACTCAGACTTGAATGCAAGGAAATACAAAAACAAGGAAAAAATTCTTAAATACTTCTTAATTTAGAGAGAGAGAGGCTCACCTCCGGCTATAAATTTGATGAAGAGATGACATTAACCAGCTGCGGTCCTTTTCTTGGTCCCCTTCCTCAAAACTGGGGTCTAACCCTTCCTTTGGTGTGCTGCTCTCACTGTTATCAACTATAAAATTTATCCTTCTAGTGGTTACCTTCAACAGGAGAAGGGCACCCTGCATTACTACATATAGCATAGCTGGGCGAAGACATTCAAAATATTTAACATCTTTCCCTCAAAATAAAAGTTTGTTGAAATTTCATGAATAAGAATATTAGTGCAAATAGTACCCCTAAAAAAATAAGAATGTTAGTAATTTTACGCTTCAAATATTCCACAGAAATTTGCCACGTAGTAATTCTCTATAAAAGAATCCACATAATTTTGTTTCCAGGCAAGCAGAAGTTACAAAAAACGTGGGAAAAGAACACATCAACAAAGTTGGAAGACAAAAAGTGCTCGTAGAACAAAAGTAAAATCCATTTTGACACAATTACAGAAGATGCCCTAAATTAAAAATTGCTAAATGAAAGAAAGCTGAACATACATTGCTCCAAAACTTTGAATTCCCCTCTTGTTACCAAATCTTTTAAAACTACTTTAGCGGAGATGTTCCAAGGCAGCAGACATCAAAACCACATTCGAACATTTCGTATATTCGTGATTACTTCTCAATTTAACATCAATTAAATAAGACCTGAGCTAAACATATTTTTCATAACCAAAATTTTAGCAAAACTTCATGACAATTTCTTCAATGAATCAAAATTCACCCAAAAAAGAGATTAAAAAAAAAATGAACCAACAAATTGGTAATTGGGTTCCTTCATCTTGAAGCACAAAAATGACAATCATGTTTAGCAAATCTTCCATGTGAAATCCATGTTAGCTTTATTGCTTATCACTCCACTTGTCACATGATGGGAGAGGAAAATTCAAGTATGCCATATTGCATTTTCACCTTACAAAAAAATTTAAAAAAAAACATCAAAAAAAAATCAGTTATATTGAAAAGCTTACGGAAAAAAGTTTTAACCTAAAATCCTGAGCTATACTTCTATGCTCTTTAAACTTCTTGGTCCTTGGATAATTAATTTCAAATTTAAATTACATCAAAAACTAGATTTTAGAATTTTTCTGTTCATCAAAAGTAATTGTAAACATTAAATGTCTTTCAATATAAGCAATATCAACTTGGGTTTTTAACTACAATTTTTTTAATTTTTTAAAGTGAAAGTGCAATGTGACAGACTTCATTTTTTTCTCATCCATCATGTCAAGTGGAAAAACATCCAATAAAACCAACGAGCATTTGGTAAACACAATAGTCATTTTTTCACGTGCCAAAAGCAGGGTGCCCCCATGCCCGATTGTGAGTTTTTTCCACCAATTCTTCTCACCACTTTCCTAGAATTTTGATTCATTCCTACAGCAACCATATTTGTACACACTAATTTACACTAAAAGTTGATATTTTTACATTTTTTACATCTCAGCAATATCTTCGGGATAGCTTTGGAGCTTCCTTTGCAGGAGAGTTTCAAAAAGGGACTATCTCATTGTAACACTAACAAGTTAAAAGTAAATTAATAATTTGATCTCTAATATAGCTAAATCTATTCAGCATCAGTGATTATACGAGTCAGTCCTAAAATAACTAATTAACTCAAAGCAAGAAAAGGACTAATTTGGTACAAGTGATATTTTCAGCGACTGGCTTGTGTACTCACAAGACCAGATTTTAGTGATTAAAGCTACATGGGCATCACAATTCACAGATCAAATTGCAAGTTCTCTTCAAAATATAAGCAACTTCCAACTTAAGCCCATAAAACTTACTTGGAAGGTTCCCTGAACAACCTTAAGTGGCCGGACCATTGATGATGGCAGCTCAAGAACAATTCTTTCATCAAGTTCACTAAAAACAAACCCAGGGGCAACGGCAGACGAATTTTGGACAAAATTTTCATCACTTGCAATTTGAGTACCAGTAGATTCAACAGATGCATGTAGGGCTTGTTCAGCTGATTCAGAAAGTCTAGGATCATTCTCCCCCTTCGGCTCAGCACCATTGACCATACCATCCCCATTCATAATTTCTGCATGCTCTTCATCTTCATTGACTTCTTCCATTGAGATTGCTTCCGCTGACAAAATTGGAGTATTCTGATCCTTTTTCTCCTCCAAATAATCATCATAATTAGCAGCAGCACCTAAATGATCATTCCCTTCGTAATTCCTCCTCAAACATCGTCTCATCCTTGAAGAACTTTCCATAAAATCTAGCTTCCAAAAAACCTAAAAATTTCAAGACTAAAATTAATAATAAAAAAATATTGAATCCTAAAAAGTGTTTTCTTTTACATAGGAGAAAATTTTAATTAAAGGGAGTATACATTGGAAATACAAGAAACCCTCAAAAGAAAAAAAAATCCTAATGAAGAAGAAAAACAAACAGAAAACCAATGAGTCAACTCAAAAGAGCCATTCCCCTCATTTTGCAGAAGTGAAAAAAAAAAAAAAGCATCCCCAAAAAAATTGAAAATCAAAAGCTTTTGACATATAAACAATTGCAGGAACACAAGCTAGTTTGCCAGAAAACATAATGGCCAAACTTGCCAAGTATTAGAATTTCATGCCTAGCAAAAGAGAGAAAAAATAAGAAGCAAGAAGCGTGCATCCCCATATAATATGTCTCCTTACTCTTAAAAAGATGGCATGTATGGCCAGAAAAAGATGAGAGGATACAAAGAATGCAAATTATGGTGATGCCAGTTTGTAGAGTATATCACAACATACACGAGGTGGGTTGTTTAGTTGATCGGCTATAGGCCCAAAAAGACTTCCCATCTCCATTAACTGGTGAATGAGTTTTCGCCATGCACGAATTCCAGTATGGATTCGATGCCTGGTAATTACATCCACTTGAGCACGTCTGTCAATCTAGCAAACCAAAAATTTAACATATAGTAAAGTCATTCTGAATAATTAGAAAATCACAGTCACAACTTGTGAACAAACCTCAGACCGTTGCATATTCCTTGCTAGTGCAAAACTGGCAACAAGAACAGCAATAAATTTATAGGAAAGAGCATTAAAATCTTTCCCATATACTGACTTCGTATCAACTGGCTGCAAACATTCCATCCAAGCAACTCCCATAGCTTCAGAGATACTCCACCTCTTAACACGCTCTGCATCACCAGCAGTTCTTCGTTGTGCAGATGTAGCCATTGCAACAGCACTAAGACCTCGTCCAGAACCAACCTTTGCAAATCGTTCAAAATCACGAGCAGCTGCTAAAGCAGCAGCTCTTGCAGCAGCTTTGTCTTTGGGAAGTGGTGGTGCTTTCCCAGGGAGTTCCAGAGGCTTTTGAAAACTTGAAAATGTGTGGAGCCTAACTTGTTTGCGCTCCAGAAGTGAGGTATCACGCCTAAGATGGGCAGTTGTTGCACGAGCTGGGGCTTCACCACCTGAAGCCCCAGCTCCAATCATTGCCAATGCCATTGCAGCAGGTGGAGATGCAAATGCAGCAGCCCAAGCTGGAGATATCATAGCAAGAGCAGCCTGAAAGAAATAAAAGATTCATGATTAGATAAATGAAGCTACATTAAAAAAAATTAATAATAATACAAGAAAGTTAAGGAATATCATCTTCGGTGCACTTTTTCTTGAACATTCAATGTCGCAGAAGAATTATACAAGCAAGCACATGGTACATTTTCTCTCCCTTGTAGCAGCTCTTTCCTTTAATCAATCATGAGTGTAATGGTGATGGCCGCAATGCAGACAGACAAGATGTAGTTATATGCTCCAGAAGCCAATCATAAGATGATTGTTTACATACATTGCACTTCATTTAAAGGAAATTCGATTATTACATTCCATGATTTGTTAAAATGCACCCAGCAGAGTATTACTGTGAGCAAGGATAGCAATAACACAGCATGACAACTATGGAAGTTGACTGATGACCATGGTTATTGATAATGAGATATTTAGCCATCACATGGGCACTTGTTACAGAACAAACAAGAAATGATACATGAATTGCTGAATAAATGTCATAACAATTATCATAGCAAGTGTAGTGATTTGACCTAAAACGATCAGGGTTGCCAACATTAGTAGTCATGCTTTAATACCTTCAAATGTCACTTGTAAGAAAAATAGCCACTTTTCAAGTATATCACAGATCCCACAAAGAGATGTTTAAGATCTATAAGGGAATTTGTCCCTTCTGTTAAGGGAGGAGTGATATCTGAGGGCTACTTAATTTATTGGGAATAAAAATGCATGGCCGAACTCAATTGACATATATATATATATATATGTTATATTATTAATTTGTTTTAAACTAGTACACTCATGGATCTAAAAACATAAATTGAATTATAAAAAGGATAACGAATTCCCTGCCTCAATTCAATCCTAGAGATTCTAGACAAAAGAGACTACAGTACTAAACTAGATGGGACATGGATAAAAAAATTAGATATATTGAATGATAGACATTCTTCTAACCTGAATGCCAGTGACATGTTGATACATGTTATTCGCTGTTTATAATTCTAAAATACGTTTTACTTTATGATAAACAAAATAAAAAATCTATAAGGTTGCATGCAAAAGGCAGTACAAAATTGAAATTAATGTAGTCTAATTAGGATTCCAAGTTAGACCAGAGTTTCCAAGAATTTAGCCCAATGTAATATACTAAGGTAATAATATAATATTACATTATAATACTATGCTGTGTTATAATATTATTTAATACTAAAGTACTAATCAAATAATATCAAATTTTTTTAGCATAATTAAATTCATGCTACATTTTGTTTGGGTTTTATGATTGTCCATAGTAAGAATGAAAAATCTACCATAAGCCAATGGCATCTCATCCTCTATTGAGCTACAGTCCATCAGATGGCTGCAACTAAATCCTAGTGTTACAAAATCAAACATAAGATTATGCATCATATGCATGAGATAATGCCTTCTTTCTCAAAATACCCTCATGAAGTTTCAAACTAGAATTTGGTGGTACCGCTTGAAGAATTTTAATACTTGTTTTTGAATTGATTTTGAACAAGGTTATGGAAGATTTTTAAAATGTTGACAAGCTCTTTTTTCATGAAAAGGCAAACCTAAATTAATCCTGCATGATCATCAACAAACGTAACAGAACATCTTGCTTCACTTAGGATTTTCCTTTCACTATAACTATGCACAAGATTGAGTGGGTACTTCTGTTTCTTCTCGCCTCTAATGTACACAGAAGAACATTGTGACCACAACAACAATCGCCCCTATTCTATTAAGTGGGATTAGCCACATAGATCATAGATGTCATTGAGCTCTATTCGCAACAAGAGCACATTGTGACCACGGCAAATAATTGATTTTCAATGAAATGATAACCTGTGATGTGTTTTTGGCCAGAGGTAGCCTTATTGATACAGTTTAGTGGCAGTTCGCTTGGTTGGGAGACCTAAGTCAGATATTGGCTCCGTTAAAGTCAGATAAGCAGAGCCATAAAGGTCACTGGCATTCAATAAGTTTATAATTTCTAGATGTCAGTGGCCTTTATGGCTCTGCTACCATGAAAGAATTCAGAATTGAAGTTCTGAATGACGTCATATATTGAAGGCACAGAAGCATCTTGAAACAGAGCCAATTGATCTGTGCAAAGATCACTTGCCTAATCAAATCACATAACAAAAATTTTAAATTTAGATCTGATAAATCCGCTCCTAGCTAAAAGTACAAAAATAAGTGATGAGTATGATAAAGAAACTAAGATGAAATAATTCATTTGTGCTAATAGCCCAAAGAGGAAAAGGCTCAAGCAGAGATATCACCTATGGATGCCTTACTGCAAACCCAGATCAGTGGCCTTCGTAGAAATTTGTATTACATATATTTTATTGATTTAGTCAACCTATTCAGCAATACACATGGAGATATATATATGTATATATATATATATATCATCCAGTCTTAAGTACAAATAGAAAATACCTCAATGGGCAGGGCATCAGCAGCCAATGCACGATCATCAACAGTTAGAGGATTTAAACCATCAGCAGTAGCAAGTTCATGAATTCCAGCCAAAACAGGCCGCCACCTTCTTAAAACAGCAACAAATGGGGGAACAATAGCCTCAAGATACTTCTTGCGAAGAGGTTTGTGGTCTTTGCCCACAGCATGATATACCTGACAACAAGGTGTACCATGATCATGGTTATCCCAAATAAAAAAGCAAAAGACATACTTTATACAGTACGTAAAAATAATATGTTCGGTGCTGAAAACACAAACCTCAGAATAAAGCACAGAAGATGCTACCAACACTCTTTGTCTCTTAGAGTCAGAAATTGGCATGTTGAGAACAGGTGAGAGGACACTGTTTAAAAAGGAGCAAATAATTTAATATACCATCATTTTTTCCCCCTCATATCACATGCCTTTGAAAAATTGTTCAAATAATGAAGAAAAAACGCAAAATAGTAACCAGTGTTAATTAAATATGTGTATAGGTGAGACTTGATGGTAATGAATAAAGGACACTAACAACAATAAAGTAATGAAAATCTAAATTTATCAAAGACATCCATGTAGATACATCTTTTGTTCACAATGAAGATGGGAGAACAATTGATCCTAGTTCCATCAAATGTACATTACTTAGGTATTCTCTACTCAAAAAGGGGCATAAATGTTACTAAACCCGATTGAGTAAATTCTTTGTTACCATGGATGTCACATTTTTGGAGAATACACCTTCCCATAGCCAAACAACCATCAAAGGGGAGAATGGAAGTATTAAACAATGGAAACCTAAGAGTGATTTCAGTCTTGAACATCCTATACAGAAGTCTTTAACCTCCAGTAGCATTGACTTACATGGGGATGGATCTCAGACTCAACTTGATGACTCAAAAATTGACATACAAGATGTTAATTGCAAGAAATACTCAAGGAAGAAAGTCCAGTAGCTGAAAAGCAAACTAAAGGGGAGGAACAGTGCACATAACCCTATGCAAGATCCAATTCCTCTCCCAAGCCAATTGCTGAAAAGTTGATCTGAAAACACCCAGTGCCTTGGGAAAGGGAGTAAGATCATGCACTCAATAACCCCAACAATCATTTTATTTGCCATCACAAATTATCACCAAAATATTTCTGCTTTTGGAATACCTTGGAGCACGAAGCGTCATATTTTTAAAAGGAGCAGCTAAAAAAAAAAACACTGAATTTTTAGCACTTGACTTGGGTCTTTTTGAAGGAATCTTGATCAAGAGGGTTCTCCAAGAGTTTAACATGTGCTGAACAACACATATTTTAACATCAGCAAGGAAGCTTCTCTTAACTGCTTGGGAGTTTTGACTATATGTAGTTTTTATCTCTGATTGGTCATGTCCGTATGGCATAGTCATTACGTTGTATAGATTAATTATGGTGAAATTTCTTGTTATATAAAGCTGTCAAATATGTGATCAAATGTTCATGTGCATACAACATGCTTATATTTCGTAGCTTGAACAGTCCTGAGATGCATTTTTTTTTTTAACAAGAAGAAGTCTTATCCCACTAAGTGGGGTCAACTACATAGATTACACAACATCATTGTACTCTATCATTAACCAAGCATTTTTTCCAAGATAAATGAAAAATCAAACCTTGGGGAAATAATTTGTACTTGGACAAAATTGAAATTTGACAAATTGCAATTCTATTTATCGAGTAAATCAAAACATTTCAAACAAAGTTGCGCATGAAGATGAATCATAAATATTGGCTGACCATGGAGAGGCAAAAAATATCTCGTAGTGGCCAAACCTTATGGAACTTCTCCAAGTATATATTTATTCAAAGGCTATTCATTAATGGATTAACTATGAACTGGAAATAAGATAAACATCCAAGGTTGTTTTACCTCCACAAAAGTGCAGAGCGGGGCTTCCTTCCCTCAGGTATCCCATCCTCAGTTGCATTCCTCATCAAAATATGTTCCTCTCCATCATCGTCTTCCCTCATCGATAGAAGAACCATCCTAAGCATGCACAGGAATGGTTGGTCACTGTCTAATAACTGGTACAATGCAGCCATCCCTCCCATTCCAGTACCTGATCCTCCTCCTATACCAAGACCACCCCCAAGCCCAGACTCATCCAACAATAATGCTTGAAGCATTGCCACAGATTTCCTTACCAAAGGAAGTTCAAGCCAGTTGCCATCAGCATCTTTCTCCAGAGCAGAGTTCCAAGAATCCCATCCACTCCCACCACCACCAAATTGAGCTGTCTTTGATGGAATGCCAACACCATACCACAAACGGCTCCTATATTTCCAGCCATCAGCTATATCCTTAGCACATGACCCGTATGATGCAAAAGCACAAGAAACAGATCCATATGGTTCAGCAGCAGCAGCTGCAGTAAGCCTTTCCATCACTGAACTAGAGATCTGACCATTTGCATCAGCCATTGAAGAAAGCATCTGTCAAATGTAACAGCAAGTGTCACTGATATTAAAATTAGCACATGCAAGACTAGAGCAAAGTAAGAAGCCTAAGAACTAACATAGCATATATTTACAAAAAAGTGAGTTCAACCCATAAATGATTTTTAAAGTCCAAAGCATAAGTTTATAAATTAGAGAAGTTGAGAAAAAATATAAAATAAAAATAAAACCAATGCCTCTTCAACATGTAAAAATATTCTCCGTGAAAGAGGCATTATGAAATAGAGGCTGCCATGCAAACATCACATCAATTTAGAAGGAATGACAAGCAGTACTGAAAATACACAATTACAAATCTTCATAAACAAGTGAACAACTCATTATGACACATAACATGCACATCTAATTCAAAATTACAGCATGCATACCTCTAGAGGGAGGCCCCCAGAATCACTAGGTACAGAACTTCGATCTGCCACAGCTTCTGTTGATTCTCCAATTGTAGACAGTGTGGTTGAGCTGTTATTGAGTGGATACAATCCAGAAAGGGGTGATGGAGAAGTATCTGCAACATGTCCAGAAGAGAATTGTTTGCATTGTAACCGCAAGTGATCCTCAACAAGCATAAGTATCACAATAGCATTCTCTACTAAAGCCACAGAAAGCTGAGCTGCATTATCAGCCTCTGCCTTAGCATCTTCTGGGGACAACCCCTCAGCAGCAACACCAGCAGCTGCCGCAGCAATAATTTGAGTCTGTTGTAAGGAAAAGCTAAATGTAGACATCATTCCAGCTGTTTCTCACTTTCGTCAAAGAAAAACCATAAATATGATATAAAGAACTGCAGTCTTGCAAATACACTTTTGTTTTCTTAGTGTACTTAGGCAAAAGTGAAGAGATGTACAGTTTCATTTGATGCACAGAATGAATAGAAATGGAAAGTGAAATAAAAAGAATAAAATTTCTTTTGTGGATGGGAAATATCAATAGAGCCCTCACTTTAAAATGTAATAAAAATGTTTTAACATGTTGATAAGGCAGCAACAATATCCTGACGTGGACCTTCTATCTTCAAGTGAACTTGCCCAGTCAGCATCAATATATATTTCAATGCGAGTCTGATTTGACTTTTTCAACCCAAGGCCTCTTCTTGGAGTGCTTTTTAAATATCTCATAATTGTGCCAGAGACTCTAGATTCCTGCCCCTCCATACTCTCTTCAAGACAATTATGAATAATTACAACACAGGCAGAACAGCCATTACATATCTCCTCTTTTTTAGTGCATTAGAATCAAATTCGGTCTCCCTCTTTATATCCAACAGGGCATTAGTTTCCTAGGTCTAGGTGTGTTTAGACATGGGGATGGGGGAACTAGAAAGGCAAAAATGATCATGGAAAAAACATTCTCTAGCCAAAGTATATGTACAAGAAAAACCTCACCTGAAGCTGCAATTCCCTGGCAGCGAAGTCCAACAAGCCACCTAAGAGCCTCCTCTTAAATATAGGCAATGATTCCTCACGTCTTCAACCAAAAAAAAGAATAATCATATGATGACATGTACCAGATATGGTAAACTGTACTTGCAAACCATTTTATCAACAGAAGGGAATAATGCGCTACCATGAGAAGAGGTAGAAAAACTCTTCCTCAAAATTCTCCAGAATGTCATATTTATTATCATTTATACCATCAAATGTTCGTTATAACCAGGCTTTGGCATAATTTTCTCATTTAAATTCCATCAATAAAAATGAAGCAAAGACTGCTTCCCTGATCAGTTTTTCATTTAGGGCATTTCTCACGTTCGGTAAGATAAAAAAAAAATGAAATTACTGAAAAGAGAGAAAAAAGGAAACTACACAAAGAAAATTTTGAGATTCTCTCCAGCCAAAAGAAAAGGAAAACAAGCTGGCTCCATCTCAAAAGAGCCTTCCCATCCCTTTGGAGATCCAAACAGACAACCACCTTAAGAAACTGATATGGTAGAAGATAGGAAAGAGAGGTGGAAGAGGAGGAGAGGAACAGAGGAGAGAATCTGAAATATCTTTCTGAATTACTAGGGAATCAACAGTGTTACTAATGTGACCCAAACCAATAATGCAACAGAACACTAAATTAAGACAATAACAGCACTAAATATGAGAGGAAAATGCTGAGGTTTTTTATAATAATGAGCTGAATGGACCGAATCAGAGTTACAAGGACACTCTCTGACTCTGGCAAAAACCCTATTTCCTCTATAAAATCAAAATAACTCCAGCCACTAGATTTCAAGCTTCAAAATACAAGTTCCCTACCACTGGCATTCGAGAGGCCAGTCTCTCCTCACAACTCCATTATCCTCCTTCCCTCCCACTCTCCAAGCAAAAGACTACTAATACCTTCAGCATGGCTTACACACAGTCCATACTACCCAAAAGATTCTAATCATGACAAAAGATCACAAATTACTGGTCCTTACGGCTAGGGACTGACGGATAAGTCCCTAGACCAGTTAAAGTATTTCCACTAGAGTTATTCCTCCCCTTTGACTTCCTCTGATATGTCTTAGGAAAATAATGGGCTCTATTGGTTACACCCCTGGACTAAGGCACTATATATATAGTAACAACTAACTAACGAAATATATCCCCTAGCCTAACTAATTCTTATATTCTATATTATTTACATATCAGAAACCATGAGGTCATAAAGCATTACATGGTCCTTGAGTCTCAAGAGATGGTTAATGATTGCAAACTTCAGAAACTTGTCACTCAAATTTAGGAGATAAAGTCTTGTGGGGTCTTCTTATATGAGGGTGATCATTTGCCTTAATTTTATCACGTATTGTCATGCAAACAAAGGTCTTTACCTTAGAAGAGGCCTCAATTTTGTAGAAAAGTTTGAATCCAGGAAAGTAATATTTGGACTTCAAATAAAAAATTTAAAGAAAGACAAACACGTGAAAGAACACGAAGAATCTAAATGCTAAATTCCAAAGCTTTCGATTGAGCAACAAAATAATACAGAACAGGAGAAGTCTAACATTAACATTCATCAAAATGTGAACCTTCGATGAACAGGGATTTATTACTTTGTCAATTAAGAACTTAGAAATTAAAGCGTCATGCAGAGAGAATAACATAGAAGTTAAAGAGCAGAAACTTCACCAATCCAAGAGTCCTCCCAAAAACAAAATTGTGCCATTTCCAACACGAAAAGAAAGCATCAAAGAGGGGAATAAGCAAGGAGACAACTTCCAGGGGCTTGATTAAGAAACAACAATCCCTAATAAGCATCCCATTCATTTTGCTGAACACCACATTTACTTCTGACTACCCTATGCCACAAAGAAGAAGCAGACTATAAAGAAAACTGTCAAGGCCATTTAGCCATTAGTGCTATATTTCAAACACCAAAATCGGCCAGACCCAACCCTCTCTCTCCTTCTTTGGTCTGCAACGTACCTCCCAACTAACCAAGTGACCTCCTTTACTCTCACCACGACAAGACCCAAAAAATTCTAGCATAATCTTCTCTATCCAATTCGCTACCCCCATTAGAATCACTAGAATCTTAAACAGAGACATAATACAGTGGGATTGTTCTATGGACAATTAGTGCTGGGTCAACTAGATTCTGTTATCAGCCAATGAATTCAGTTAACCAATAAGTCAGATGGTTAAGAGCAATTACCTAATTGCTGCAAGTCACGCCAATCTTAGCTATAGTAGGAGTAATGTAGGCTAAAGTTAGCTTAAAATGGCAAATAAACTCACCTTTTTCGAAGTTCTCCTGTACTAGATCCACCCACAATACAAAGCCATTCTGCACAATGAATTGTCATTTCAATATCCTACATGAAAAGAGCAACACCAACCAGTATCAATAAAGCAGATAGACAGATTTCATGGAGGCAGACAATCTAATGATCATAAATAAATTAAATAGCAGATGGACGGAGGGATGAATGGATAAAATAGGCAAGAAAGCGATACAAGGTTAGAATATAACACAAACTTTATATAGCAAGAATGGGAACAAAACTACATCAAAAATATAATCAATTCTCACAAAAACAGAAAAACATTTAGCAAGTCCATTAAAAACATGCCCCAAAGAAACAAGAAACTTATCCCTTCCCAGCCTAGCAAGGCAAGTACAGCTACATGTTTGACCATGATTACCAATGGGTTTGCGGAAACACTAATCAAAAAGTTAAGAATATTACTCCCTATGTTCCTTTTTACGATAAATATTTTAGGTTTTACTGAACCTATTTATCAGATCTTTTGCAAAATCTAGGCAGTAGTTAATATGTTTTTCCCAAAAATACCCCCAAAAAAGGGTGCTTTAGATTAATTGAGGGAGGGAGGAAGAGAACAGTATTTAGGAAGGGCATTTGTGGAAAGATTAGGTGCTTTCAAGGAATCAACTCATTTTTGTTGATTCATGTAAAGTAGGCAAATTAGTCTTGTAAAAAGGAATGGAGGGAGTAAATATTCATAAAAACAAGTTATCCAAAGAAAGTAAGGAATATAAAAATACAACAATCGAACTAGCATCTCAATTGAAGCAACAAAATAGTGATCAAACTTTACAAATCATTTCATCTGGTAATTACCATGCCAATTCTGGATGTGATAATTTCTCGGTTTAAACTGACATTGATTGAAGCACAATATTTTAGATGTTAAGTTTGCCAACATAGGTATTGGTACATTACGTTAAAATTCTGTTATTAGTTGACAATAGGAATAAAATGTAACTACATCTGTTAAGAACAGGAGGGAATCCAGGGCAATGAAAGATATAAATACCCGACTTTTACTCTGCTTCAACTTGTCAAGAACACCGTTTCTTACAAATTCTTTTCCTTCTTAATGACAACTCAAGGTTAAAATCTACTTATATACATATCTTCTTTTATAGAAAAAGAAAGTTCATTTTGATGACTAAGAAAACAAAATCACAAACAAGAAAGCAATAATAAAAGAAACAGCATGTTAAACATGCAACAGAGGACATCAATATTATCCAAGAAAAAAGTATGCGCTCTATTTTATATTAGCAATTTCCCAACAGTTGTGCATCAGACTAAGCACACTATTCAAAAACTCAAACCTGATGTTGGACTTTGACAGTTAGAGCTTCAGCCAATGAGAATTGAATAATGAAAGTAACATAAAGATAGAATTTCAGCCAATGAGAATCAAATAAAGAAAATAACACAGACAAACAAACTACTCATGCACGGGCTGTCAACAGCAACATTGCCAAATAGAATAAAAGACAAGAATCAACAGTTACATAAAGCGGATAAACATGAAAGAAAAACTCAATTAAATAGCAACCTTCCATCCATCCTTTTGCCGCATTGAGTGCTCTAACATGATGATAAGGAAGTTATGAATAAGGTCCTCTAGTTCTCCAACACTTGTTGAACTTGAGGACTTGGTTGGGGCCATCTGTTAAACATAAATACATATACAGAAAAAATTAATTCCAGGATTCCATTCTTTTTTCAATCATATCAAACATGCTGTTAAACTCAATTCCTTTTCTTTCTCGGGTTCGGTCCCGGTTCCATTTCTATTTGCAATTCCAATTCTATCAAAATGCTTCTAGTGAACTGAATGACGCCTAATGTTCCAAACATTTTTCTAGAAATTCCACTACCTCGTCCAAATATTTCAAACCAAAATAAAAAATTTTCCCTCAGAAAACTACCTTTTTGCTTGAAAACTTCAGCTCCTCACTTGAAAACTACCTTGCCCACCATGGAATCATTCATCAAAGTTCCTACTTTTATACCCCCCAACAAAATTGAAGTTTCAAAATTAAAAAAACAGGGACCTTCTTGAAGGAGCTAGCTCCCTCCTACTCACTTCTAATGTACCCAATCACTTTTTGGAGGAAGCAATACTCACTGCAACCTGCCTCATCAATGGAACACGCACCAAAATCCTAAAGTTCAAGATCCCACAAGAAGTCCTATTAGAAACCTTCTAACAAAGCTATATGATTAATCCACCCCTGAAAATCTTTGGGCACAGCATTTGAGTCTATAATTTACAATTTAGGATCTACAATTTTGTTAAAATAATATAACAATCCTAGCTACATAAAATCATACTTTCCTGATTATAATCTCCTAGAATCTCAAGCTAGGTGAGGCAGGCCTGTTGCCTTATGTCTGTATCATTCATAGTTGAATGAATAAAGACTTTGGCCAATGATAGAAAAATTGCTTCTTGACCAATTTCAATTATATGGATTACTAATGCGTGGACACACACACACACACACACATATTAACATATTTTACGCTAGACATTATCTTGAAACAAAGAAAGTGTTTTTGTAAATGAAGACTGACAAGATGAGAAGTGGTTAATAGCTATATCTTGGTTGACCTGATTAAACCCACATTTTAGCAATTTGCTGAGTAAACTAACTCAATTAACTACCAATCTAAAATATAAAACCATCAAGTCCAATACAGTCAAGATAGAGCCAGTGTTGTTAAAGGCGAAAGGCGCACTCAAGGCGCAAAGTTGGTAAAACGCCTTAGGCGCAAGGCGCTACAAAGGCGCACGCCTGAGTGAAGCAAGGCGCTACTATAGATAAAATGCATAATACATAGATTATAGACAACAAACCATAGATAAAGTGATAAATATAAATCTACTTCAATCATAAACTTCTACAAAATTACAACAAAATAATATAAACTATTCCAATAATCAATCAAGTGCATAAAATGTCTTTAAAATATGAAAAAACAATATTGAGGCCTATAAAAAAATCAAACTAGAAATCTGAATCAGATTCAGATGTGGCAAGCTCAGGACTTTCTCCTCCTTCATTGTTGGATTTATATCTTTCATCGTCTTCCTCTAACTCATCTGAATCAAAATTTGCAAGTTCCTCAATGTTGGTAATCGGTTGTTTTCCTTTAGCTCTAGATGAGCTAGCTTTTTTTCCTTTAGCTTGGCTTTGGCTTCTTGTTTGTTTAATTGGTTCTCCAACACCTGCTGCTGATGCAACAGCCCCCCATGTTAACTCTTCATTCTCATCATCACCAAAAACACGCTCATCTGCTGCGTCCTCATCGACATCCATCATACTACCAAGTAGCCATTCATTACTTTCATCAATATCCGCCAAGGAAATGGGATCTACATCTTGCCTATCATATCTATTTTTCAGTGCTTGATTGTATTTCACAAAGACCAAATCATTGAGTCTATCTTGAGCAAGCTTGTTCCGCTTTTTTGTATGAATCTAAGTGGAAAAATCATATATAATAATTAATTATCTTAATATGAAGTGAAGATATGATAAAACATAGCATTGACCTATTTTAAAAAATTGAAATATTTAAATTTAACCTGTTCAAACACACTCCAATTACGTTCACAGCCTGATGCACTACAAGTAAGGCTTAGTATTCTGATTGCCAAATGTTGTAAATTAGGGCTAGAGCTTCCATAAGAAGCCCACCATTCCGCTACAAAGTCATAAAAATAATACATAATTATTTAACATTTTAACTAAATTAGTAAAACTAGGACTATTAAATAACTAATGTGTGATTATAATCTACCTGGAGCTCTTGTTTTCCTTGTTCTAATGGCCAAATCAACCCCAAAAAGTCCCTCTGCTCTTTTATATATTGTCAATTCATTCATGATCTTCTCTTGGGCGGTTGGGTCTTTCACAAGTCTCCCTATGCAAGATATTAGGCCCCTAGTGATTTCTTCATCAAACTCTATATCTGGGTTGTCATAATAATATTCTGGATTTAGGAGATAAGCTGCAGCATGTAGAGGTTGATGAAGTTGGCAATTCCACCTTTCATCAATAATATGAAAAATCTCTCTATACTTATCTTCATTATTATCAAATGCCTTTTGAATTGCCTCTTTGGCTCTATCCATTGCTTCATATATATAACCCATGGCTGGTTTTTTTTCATTATCTACAAGTCTTAGCACTCGAACAAGAGGTCCCATAACTTTTAATATATAAGAAACAGTATTCCAAAAAGAAGGCATAAGCACACTTTCAACCACACGCTTTCCTTTAGGTTCTCTTGACCACTTACTTGATTCCCACTTCTCTGAAGTAAACATAGTCCTCAATGCAGTTTTCTGTTGATGAATGCTTTTAAGAGTAAGATATGAAGTGCAGAATCTAGTTTTGCCAGGCCTCACCAACTCCTTTTGCTTAGTGAACTCTCTCATCATATTTAGAAGTCCTACGTGGTTATATATATACCCTGTCAAATTGATTGCTCTTGCCAAAGTCTTTGATACCCTAGAAATTTTTCCAATGTCTTCTAATATAAGATCTACACAATGTGCTGCACATGGTGTCCAAAAAAGATTCAACCTTTTCATTTCTAATAATTTACCAGCAGCTTTAAAGTTAGACCCATTATCCGTCACTATTTGAACAATATTCTCTTCCCCAACATGGTCAACAAAATCATCAATCAAATTGAACAATCTTTCTGCTGTTTTAACATATGATGATGCATCAACAGATTTTATAAACATTGTGCCAACTGGGCAATTCACTAAAAAATTTATCAAGCTTCTATTTGTTCGGCTAGTCCACCCATCAAGCATAATGGAACAGCCTTTTCTTTTCCACATATCTCTATGATTTTTCATCATATCATTTGTAAGTTCAACTTCTTTCTTCAAAATTGGCACCCTCAACTCATAGTAACTTGGGGGTTTTAGATTTGGACCATATTGTCCAATAGCTTCAATCATAATTTTAAAGGAATCCATGTTAGCAACATTAAATGGAATGCCAGCTTGGTAGAAAAATCGACCAATGTATTGACAAACCATAGCTCTTCTCTCCTTATCAAATTTATCAGTTATATTTCCATCTCGCAACTTTCCTTGTTTTCGTAATTGAATAACTTGCTCTGGTTTCCTCATAAAAGAATCCATGGGACCTTTTTGTCTAGGCTTCTTTGATGTAAGCATAACATTTTTTCCTTTCTTTCCATACAACTCCTCCTCCTCCTCCTCTTCTTCACCATGCATACTTATATCCACAACATTTATAATTGGATTATCATATGTCTCTTTTTCTACCTTTTTTTTGTCCATGTAATCTTGCAACTCTTTCCTCACATTATCAGGACACTTCAAACATTTAGCAGCATTCCTATTACCTCCAACTTGATGCAACTTAGCTCTATGAATCCCTCCTTTTGTAGATTTGTTACAAAAGGAACAAGTTACAGTATTGGTGTCATTTGGGTCACTCAAGAAATTATATTTCCATCCAGGGTCTTTTCTCTTATTTTGTTCTTGTTGCTTGTTTTGAACTTGACCACTACTTTCAGCCATGGAAGCACTAAAAACTGGGGAAAAATACCAGGAAAAACCAAAAAAGAGAGTGAAAAATTAAAGGTTTGTTTTTTGAATAATTGTTCTGTGTGTTGTAGTGCTAAAGGCCTAAAATCAAGCAAATCAAATAAGAAAAATAGAAAATAATATGATGTTTGAACTTTGAAACTTAGAAGTTAGAACCTGATTGTTAGAGTGCAAGATGTGCAAGACGTGCAAGACGTGATCCTTGGAGATATTGCTCACTTGCTCTAAGCCTCGAGACACACTGATGCCAATACCAAAGAACAGTAATAGGTTTTCTTTTTATATCTTAAAAAATATACATTGGGAGGGATTTTAAAGTCTTAAACTTTCCTAAAAATTTTCCTTCAGATAGCAAAATTTTCTCAATCATATTTAAAATTTAAATCAAAGATAATTTCTTATAATTAATTAAAATCTTTTTCTATATATAATATTTTTCATTATCTTTTATTTAAAATTCAAATCTTCCCTAATTTATTATATGTTATATGTTTCTCCCACAAGATAGGATAGGATTTGTTAAATCTTTTATAATTATCTCAATCATATTTAAAATTTAAATCAAAGATAATTTTTTATAATTAATTAAAATCTTTTTCTATATATAATATTTTTTATTATCTTTTATTTAAAATTTAAATCTTTCCTAATTTATTATATGTTATACGTTTCTCTCACAAGATAGGATAGGATTTGTTAAATTTTTTATAATTATTTACTATATTTTTTTATCATATTTTAATGGATTTTGGTTAAAAAAAAATTATATTCTAATGGATGATATTCAGTCCACGATGCTGAACTTATGGCCAGCTAGCATACTCGCACGATACGGTCGTACCCAACTCCTGCTCTTCTTTTCGGTGGAGATACAGTCGGTGGAGTGCAGACGAGTTCTCGTCTCTGATTCTTGCATACCCAGTCGACACCGGCAGCCGAACAAGAACCAACTCCTACTCTTCTTTTCGGTTCTTTCACACCCAGTCAGCATTCTTCACTCCTTCATCTTCCTTTATCGTCTTCTCTTCTGAAATCTTACGTCTTTGTCTTCTCTTCTAATCTTCTCATCTTCACTGCTGCCAGGCGCTGACAGTCGCGCGCCTTTAGGATATGCGAGGCGCACAAGGCGCTCAAAGGCGAGCGCCTGAGGAAACCCATCGCCTCTCTTCACTTGAGAGGCGATGGCCAAGTTCAGCGCCTCGCCCAGGCGCCTTAGGCGCTGAGGCGAGCGCCTTTTACATCATTGGATAGAGCTGGTTTAGGCAGGTTAAATAATTATGGGCTATAATTGTCATCTCTGATCAGAATGAGCACCTAGTTCACACGCTCTGTGAAAACCAAAAAAAAAAAGTACCTCATTGTTTGAAATTAGCAATTCCAAGATCCATTCAGGCCATTCCTCCATGTTTGTCAACCTACTTCTATTTTCTTGATGACTGCAAGCCAAAAATAGAAGATCCTGAAATTGTAAACAAGCAAACAGCTCAGAAGCAAGGGATACACAACAAGATCTCGCACACATATAGCGATGCATATAGAAATCTTCACATAAATCAATCCAATGAATAAACTTCCTTTGTGGACATGGAATATAAATCGGCTAAATTCCTATTTTAACAAAGACACAACAAGAAGCACATAATGTCAAAACATGGAAAAACAAAATTGTTCATATAGAACAAGAAAGAAAAAGAAAAGTCAAATAATGAAACCAAGAAAAAATTAACAATTCCATAGGTTGATTTCAAAAAGAGAAACTGCATCTAGTTATAGTTTACCATTAGAGAGTTGTGAATGGTAATTGTTATGGGGCAATAATAATGGTTAGAGAGGTCAAGATGGATTAGTTAGTTAGGACATTCCCATTAGTATAAATAGGTGGGAAAGATGATGTAAAAGGTTTCTAATGGACTGAAAGCTACACCTTTATGTTTTCATGTATAATATAGTATCAAAGCTGGTTTTTTGTCCATTAGGCACCATCAGCAGAAATGTGGTCCAAAAAGCTGTGACGAAGATAGCAGAGCCAGGGTTTAAGCAAGACACAATAGTTGATTCAAAGCAATTCTACTAAAAAGACTTACATTCAAGAACCTACAACAATAAAGGTGTTCACAGAAGGACTTGGATCAAAAATCCAAGAACCGATTCAATGTGTGTGTGTGTGTGTGTCAGTAGCCTTCCCAATGCCATGGGCCTCAAGGATCTTCGAGGAAGAATGGCTAAAAGCAGGGAGAGAAGAAGGGTGAAGAAGCAAGGCAATTGCAGACCAATCCAAGTTTCAAATAGAACCAACGACCAATGTAGCGAATTCTAGCAATGCTGATATGGAAGTGTGGTGATTTGGCATCTAGTCAACCATGGGTCAAGGGAACTTGATGAAGAAGATTGGAAAAGAATGCTCACAAAGTGCATTGAGGGTGCATTAGTTGATGGAAATAAACCCTTCAGCATAACTAGGATAGTTCAAAGACACTATGGCTATGTGCTTGGCATGCAAATGGGCTTACGGGTCTTTTATTTATTTATTTTTTATTTTATTTTGGCAATAGTAGGCCAAGTTGCATTTTTTATTATCTAGAACATCTATGGCCACTTTGATCTGATGTGAAGCAGAGAAATGGGATTGAGGTGGAAGGGCTATAAGCTTCTTGAACATCTATGGGTTTTTTAAAGTTGGCTAGATATTGATAAGGTAGTCAAAGTGTTTTTACCTAAATCCTGTCCATGACAAGAAAAATGTACTGTCGTACTGAATTTTAGAATTTATGAAATTGTAATTATCCTTGAGGACGTATTGTAATTTAACTCCGCCTATGTATTGTAATTTAACTCCGCCTATGTTTATAGCCGGTCCCAAGCCCGGGTAAAGGAGGAGGGTTGTGTTAGGCCATCAACAGCCAATGTAAAACTTTGTTGAATCTATCATGAACATGGACAATAGACGTTATAATGTTAATGCTAGGTCGTTGCCCGTAAGTAATGCGCTGCATGGCTCGAGTACAGTGATAAGTGAGTTAGAGCCGTTGCATCAGCACCCGGATATAGTGTTAAATGAGCAAGGGCTACCGCGTCATTCTGGACGCACGCGGCTAAAGAAGTTAGTCCATAAGAGCAAAATTAGATTTGGTACTTGGAATGTTGGGACATTAAATTGTAAATCTGTAGAGGCTGTAGGGGTTATGATTCAAAGGAAAATCAATATCCTTTGCCTGCAAGAAACAAAATGGTGTGGAGAAGAAGTTAAGGATATTCAAGGGTTCAAACTTTGGTATACAGGAAAAGTAAGTGCACGCAATGGAGTAGGCATCATTATAGATAAGGAGTGGAAGAAAAATGTTGTAGAAGTTAGCAGAATTGGAGACAGAATTATTTCCTTAAAAATGATAATTGGACGTGAGACTGTTAATATTGTTAGCGCTTATGCGCCGCAAGTCGGGACAAAAGCCAATCTTAAGGAATTATTTTGGGAGGATCTGGAGGGGTTGATTCGACACATACCACAGAGTGAAAAGATTTTTATTGGAGGAGACTTTAATGGGCATGTCGGGAGGGAAGCTGGTCAGTATGCGAGGGTGCATGGTGGTTTTGGTTTTGGAGAGCTAAACAATGAAGGACAAACTCTTCTTGATTTCTCATTGGTGTATGATTTTAAGATTGCCAACACTTATTTTAAGAAGAGAAATGAGCATCTCATCACTTACAAAAGTGGAGCCTCAAGGTCACAGATTGATTTTCTTTTGGTTAGGAACACAGATAAAAAACTTTGTAAAAATTGTAAGGTCATCCCCGGAGATGCTGTAACGACACAACATAGGGTCCTAGTCCTTGATGTGTGTATTATGAGTAAAATCCAAAAACGTCGACAAGTAGTAACACCAAGGATTAGGTGGTGGCAATTAAAAGGTGAGAAGCAAGATATTTTCAAGCGAAATCTTTTGGATAAAGGAATTTGGGAATCTCAGGGAAGTGCTAACATCATATGGGAGGATATGGCTAAAAAGATACGGGAGGTTGCAAAAGTAGTTTTGGGAGAATCGAAAGGTTCTGGTCCGAGAGATAAGGAGACTTGGTGGTGGAATAATAGTGTACAGGACAAAATCAAGTATAAGAAGAACTGTTTTAAAGCCATACATTTGTGTAACAATGAGAAAAATTGGGAGAGGTACCGTATGGCTAAGAAAGAAACTAAGAGAGCTGTGGGTGAAGCTCGTTCTAAAGCTTTTGAAGAATTTTATAAGAACCTTGAGACGAAGGAAGGAGAGCAAAATATTTATAAGATTGCCAAGAGTAGGGAAAGAAAATCAAAAGATCTAGAACAGGTAAGATGTATTAAGGATGAAGAGGGAAGAATTTTAGTTACAGATGATGAAATTAAAAATAGATGGGAGACTTACTTTTCTAAACTTTTCAATGATGGAGAGGATTCATCTAGTAACTTGAAGGATTTAGTAACTGGTGAAGGAGAACAAAATTTGTCATTCTATCGAATAATACGTGATAAGAAGGTAAAGGAAGCTCTTAAGAAAATGGCAAATGGTAAAGCCAACGGACCTGATTGTATATCTATCGAAGCGTGGAAATGTTTAGGTGAAGAAGGGGTGAGATGGTTAACTAAGTTATTTAATGTGATTTTACGGTCCAAGAAAATGCCTGATGAGTGAAGGAGAAGTACATTAATTCCTATTTATAAAAATAAAGGGGATATTCAGAATTGTACTAACTATAGAAGGATTAAACTCATGAGCCACACAATGAAATTGTGGGAGAAAGTAATTGAGCACAGGTTGAGATTGGAGACAAGTATTTCTGAGAATCAATTTGGTTTTATGCCAGGTAGATCAACTACAGAGGCGATTTATCTACTAAGGGGATTAATGGAAAAGTATCGTTGTAAAGATAAAGATCTACACATGGTTTTTATTGATTTGGAAAAAGCTTATGACCGTATACCAAGAGAAGTGCTTTAGAAAGCGTTGGAAAAAAAGGGAGTACGGATTGCTTATATTAAAACCATACAAGATATGTATGAGGGGGTAAAAACTAGTATAAGAACGCCTAGTGGTCAAACAAAGGATTTTCCTATAAAGATTGGACTACATCAAGGATCATCTCTGAGTCCTTATTTGTTCAACTTGATTTTAAATGTTTTGACGGAACATATTCAAGAGGAAATCCCAAAATGTATGCTCTTCGCGGATGATATAGTTCTTATAGCAGAGACAAGAGAAGAGGTTAATTGCAAACTTGAGTTATGGAGGAGGACATTGGAGTCAAAAGGTTTTCGTCTGAATAGAAGTAAGACGGAATATTTATATTGTAAATTTGGTAAAGGACTATTCGACAATAATTTGAAAGTGAAATTGGAAGATCAAATTATACCTCAAGTGGAAAAGTTTAGATATTTGGGAGCCATTATTCAAAATGATGGCGAAATCAGTGGAGATATTTCACATAGAATTCAAGCTGGGCGGTTTAATTGGAGAAAAGCTAAATGAGTTATTTGTGACCGTAAGGTGTCTAATAAACTTAAAGGAAAGTTTTATCGCACTGCTATCAGACCAGCAATGTTATATAGTAGTAAATGCTGGGCTCTAACGGGACAGCAAGAGCATAAAGTTGGAGTAGCAGAGAAGAGAATGCTACGATGGATGTGCGGACATACACGTAAAGATAAAATTCGAAATGAGCACATACGCGAAAAAGTGAGGGTGGCACCTATTGAGGAAAAAATGGTAGAAAATCGGTTGAGATGATTTGGGCATGTACAAAGAAGACCAAGGGAGGCACCAGTGAGAAAAGTGGAACATATAACTTTGAGTCCAATTAAGAGAGGTAGAGGAAGGCCTAAGAGAACACTCTTGGAAGTTGTTGAGCGCGATCTCTTAATTAATAATATTCCTAAAAACTTGATAAATGATAGAGCACAATAACGTCTTGCAATCCATGTAGCCGACCCCACCTAGTGGGATAAAGGCTTGTTGTTGTTGTTGTTGTTGTTGTAATTATCCTTGAGGACAAGGATCAATTTGAAAGGGGAGTACTGTTACGTGGCATCAATAATGGTCAAGGAGGTGACATGAAAAGCAGGAGAGGAAGGGGGAGAGAAAGACAAGGAAGAAGAGATATAGAGAAAGGAAGGAGAAACTAGAAATTAAAGGAGAGACTGAAAAATAGTCAACGTTATTCAAATCATCCAAAAAGGTCAAACAAATGAGAAAACTTTTGGTCGATTTATAGAGTCCTAGGTATACTTATTCAAAATAACAATCTAGCCTAAATCTAATAAATCCTCAAGATAAAATAAAATAACTAAATCCTAGACAGGATAAGATGATACTAGACACCTTATTTTTATTCTAAAATAAAGAAAATATAACATTTAAAAGATAACATGAATATAAATTTTAAATTTAAATTAAAACCCAAAACACATATTTCTTTCACAAGGTTAATAAGGATTAGCAAGTTTTTACCATATAATAACAAAAAAGGGTTAGCGTTAAGAGGTTCCTATTAGTATAAATAGGAGAGAAAGATGATGTCAAAAGTGTTTAATGAATTGAATATTACACTTTTACATTTTCACGTATCAGTAATACCAAGCTATCGCATGATAATCTGTAAGTTAGCCATCTTGTAGAAAGACAAACAAATTCAGTAGTTCAAAAAAAGAGAGAGGAGAGAGGCTAAGAAACTATCCCTATGACTCACTATTGACTTTTGTATGCTTAATGACGAGAAACTTGAGACCAAAATGACACTATAAATTTAACGAACTATATAATGAGAAATTAAAACACATAACAAGCAGGTACATCCAACGATAAGTAAATTGAGACAAATTCAGGTGCATAAATCAACCAAGAATTATGGATATCATACTTGAAACTCATGATACAAGGAACCAACAATTTACAAACATTAAATGCACGTTGTAAGAAATGGAAACTTAAGCTAATACCTGTAGTGCTCTGCATTGCAAAGGCCTAGGTGCATGGGGAAGAGAACGCAAAAGTACCAATAAAAGTTGTGAATGCTCAAAACGGTGGCCAGAATCATAGAAGTTCAACCCATCCTCCATTGTAGAGGCATTGATCTGAAATGAAAAGAAAGACCAATTAAAAAAAAAAAAAGACAAGCAAAAGGAAAGATCTTTTTTTTTTTTTTGGAACTTGCTTAAGACATTTTGCCCAGGGTATTTTAATAAACATTCAGACATCATGTGGCTTTGCCAAATGATGTTTTGACAAATTCTGTCAACAAATTAGGAGGCATCAATCTGAAATGGAGCGGGGGAAGCAATACATTCATTTATCTGATGTAGCACTAGTAGCAAGAATAAAGAAAGCCAGTAAGATATAAAAGAAATAAAGCAGAGGAGGGAAGAGGCAGAAGAAATATAAGACTTAATTCAATTAAAAAAACAAATCAAACCCTAACTAGAAAGGGATTTATATAAAGCCAAGGGGTTAACTTTTAAAAAAGAAAGATAAAACAATAATCTTACAAAAGATCATTTTTCTGAAAGTCATTAACATGTATGTTTCCATTGGTATGAAGTGGAGAGGTAATGGAAGAATTTCATCATACCGAGGCAGCCAATAAAGTAGTGTAGACATTGTCAGTCATTAGCCTGTTGGGTGCTGCTTGGAAAGCCTTCTGCAAGGCAAAAAGCAGAAGAGAAACCTTGTCATCAAACATGGTGCCACCCCCATCATGCAGTCCAACATCCAAAAGGTTTCTTGTTGTATCAGGAACAGCATGAGAGTCAAATTTCAGATGCCCTGAAGCTACTAAAGCACCCAAGAGAGCTATGATCCCAACAACAATGCCATCACTATCATCAATATTGTAAACATTGTTTCTTGCATTATCAGCACTAATGGAAAGACTTATTCCTCCCAAATTATTGCCATTAGAAGTTTCAGAAGTAGATTTCATTTCAGAAGTAGATTTCATCCTTTCAATATTCAGAACAGTGGAACTTGAATTAGGATGACTTCTATTATCAACTAGCTGAGAACCTTGGTCTATTTCTTCTAAGGTGGCTTCACTTTTCTCAGCAGATCTTTCATCATCTTGACTTTGTTCGGTAATTTCATTATTACCATCAACAGTAGCTTTTTCAGGTTTGGGACTTTTTGACAATGATTCCAAGACATCACTGTCTCCAGTCTTAGCTTCCCTTTGAAGCAGAACAAGAAGAGTTTCCACTCCACCACATGCTAGGAATGCTTCTGCAAATGTGCGAGCTCTAGCTGCATTTGGCTGTACAATTAACCTGTAGAACAGATGCAACACCCTAGCAACCTGGAAAGAAAAGTAAATAATGAGTACAATTAATAGTTCAATGACAACTTTATTTGTTAAATGAATAAGAAATAATAGTTCGTGTTAGACTTTTAGAATTTCAAAAAAATAAACATGAGATTAGTAATAGTCAGAACTAAAAATTGTAGTTTATTGATCTTATTAAATGTAATTAAACCTAGCAGAGCATACAACAGAGAAATATAGGCCTAGCGGTAATCCCTGAAATTCTTCTCCTTCACTTATTCACCAAGGAAGTTATTTTACAAAATAATTGCTCATAAACTCAAGAATGAGATCCAACCAATGATGTAAAAGGCGCTCGCCTCAGCGCCTAAGGCGCCTGGGCGAGGCGCTGAACTTGGCCATCGCCTCTCAAGTGAAGAGAGGCGATGGGTTTCCTCAGGCGCTCGCCTTTGAGCGCCTTGTGCGCCTCGCATATCCTAAAGGCGCGCGACTGTCAGCGCCTGGCAGCAGTGAAGATGAGAAGATTAGAAGAGAAGACAAAGACGTAAGATTTCAGAAGAGAAGACGATAAAGGAAGATGAAGGAGTGAAGAATGCTGACTGGGTGTGAAAGAACCGAAAAGAAGAGTAGGAGTTGGTTCTTGTTCGGCTGCCGGTGTCGACTGGGTATGCAAGAATCAGAGACGAGAACTCGTCTGCACTCCACCGACTGTATCTCCACCGAAAAGAAGAGCAGGAGTTGGGTACGACCGTATCGTGCGAGTATGCTAGCTGGCCATAAGTTCAGCATCGTGGACTGAATATCATCCATTAGAATATAATTTTTTTTAACCAAAATCCATTAAAATATGATAAAAAAATATAGTAAATAATTATAAAAAATTTAACAAATCCTATCCTATCTTGTGAGAGAAACGTATAACATATAATAAATTAGGAAAGATTTAAATTTTAAATAAAAGATAATAAAAAATATTATATATAGAAAAAGATTTTAATTAATTATAAAAAATTATCTTTGATTTAAATTTTAAATATGATTGAGATAATTATAAAAGATTTAACAAATCCTATCCTATCTTGTGGGAGAAACATATAACATATAATAAATTAGGGAAGATTTGAATTTTAAATAAAAGATAATGAAAAATATTATATATAGAAAAAGATTTTAATTAATTATAAGAAATTATCTTTGATTTAAATTTTAAATATGATTGAGAAAATTTTGCTATCTGAAGGAAAATTTTTAGGAAAGTTTAAGACTTTAAAATCCCTCCCAATGTATATTTTTTAAGATATAAAAAGAAAACCTATTACTGTTCTTTGGTATTGGCATCAGTGTGTCTCGAGGCTTAGAGCAAGTGAGCAATATCTCCAAGGATCACGTCTTGCACGTCTTGCACATCTTGCACTCTAACAATCAGGTTCTAACTTCTAAGTTTCAAAGTTCAAACATCATATTATTTTCTATTTTTCTTATTTGATTTGCTTGATTTTAGGCCTTTAGCACTACAACACACAGAACAATTATTCAAAAAACAAACCTTTAATTTTTCACTCTCTTTTTTGGTTTTTCCTGGTATTTTTCCCCAGTTTTTAGTGCTTCCATGGCTGAAAGTAGTGGTCAAGTTCAAAACAAGCAACAAGAACAAAATAAGAGAAAAGACCCTGGATGGAAATATAATTTCTTGAGTGACCCAAATGACACCAATACTGTAACTTGTTCCTTTTGTAACAAATCTACAAAAGGAGGGATTCATAGAGCTAAGTTGCATCAAGTTGGAGGTAATAGGAATGCTGCTAAATGTTTGAAGTGTCCTGATAATGTGAGGAAAGAGTTGCAAGATTACATGGACAAAAAAAAGGTAGAAAAAGAGACATATGATAATCCAATTATAAATGTTGTGGATATAAGTATGCATGGTGAAGAAGAGGAGGAGGAGGAGGAGTTGTATGGAAAGAAAGGAAAAAATGTTATGCTTACATCAAAGAAGCCTAGACAAAAGGTCCCATGGATTCTTTTATGAGGAAACCAGAGCAAGTTATTCAATTACGAAAACAAGGAAAGTTGCGAGATGGAAATATAACTGATAAATTTGATAAGGAGAGAAGAGCTATGGTTTGTCAATACATTGGTCGATTTTTCTACCAAGCTGGCATTCCATTTAATGTTGCTAACATGGATTCCTTTAAAATTATGATTGAAGCTATTGGACAATATGGTCCAAATCTAAAACCCCCAAGTTACTATGAGTTGAGGGTGCCAATTTTGAAGAAAGAAGTTGAACTTACAAATGATATGATGAAAAATCATAGAGATATGTGGAAAAGAAAAGGCTGTTCCATTATGCTTGATGGGTGGACTAGCCGAACAAATAGAAGCTTGATAAATTTTTTAGTGAATTGCCCAGTTGGCACAATGTTTATAAAATCTGTTGATGCATCATCATATGTTAAAACAGCAGAAAGATTGTTCAATTTGATTGATGATTTTGTTGACCATGTTGGGGAAGAGAATATTGTTCAAATAGTGACGGATAATGGGTCTAACTTTAAAGCTGCTGGTAAATTATTAGAAATGAAAAGGTTGAATCTTTTTTGGACACCATGTGCAGCACATTGTGTAGATCTTATATTAGAAGACATTGGAAAAATTTCTAGGGTATCAAAGACTTTGGCAAGAGCAATCAATTTGACAGGGTATATATATAACCACGTAGGACTTCTAAATATGATGAGAGAGTTCACTAAGCAAAAGGAGTTGGTGAGGCCTGGCAAAACTAGATTCTGCACTTCATATCTTACTCTTAAAAGCATTCATCAACAGAAAACTGCATTGAGGACTATGTTTACTTCAGAGAAGTGGGAATCAAGTAAGTGGTCAAGAGAACCTAAAGGAAAGCGTGTGGTTGAAAGTGTGCTTATGCCTTCTTTTTGGAATACTGTTTCTTATATATTAAAAGTTATGGGACCTCTTGTTCGAGTGCTAAGACTTGTAGATAATGAAAAAAAACCAGCCATGGGTTATATATATGAAGCAATGGATAGAGCCAAAGAGGCAATTCAAAAGGCATTTGATAATAATGAAGATAAGTATAGAGAGATTTTTCATATTATTGATGAAAGGTGGAATTGCCAACTTCATCAACCTCTACATGCTGCAGCTTATCTCCTAAATCCAGAATATTATTATGACAACCCAGATATAGAGTTTGATGAAGAAATCACTAGGGGCCTAATATCTTGCATAGGGAGACTTGTGAAAGACCCAACCGCCCAAGAGAAGATCATGAATGAATTGACAATATATAAAAGAGCAGAGGGACTTTTTGGGGTTGATTTGGCCATTAGAACAAGGAAAACAAGAGCTCCAGGTAGATTATAATCACACATTAGTTATTTAATAGTCCTAGTTTTACTAATTTAGTTAAAATGTTAAATAATTATGTATTATTTTTATGACTTTGTAGCGGAATGGTGGGCTTCTTATGGAAGCTCTAGCCCTAATTTACAACATTTGGCAATCAGAATACTAAGCCTTACTTGTAGTGCATCAGGCTGTGAACGTAATTGGAGTGTGTTTGAACAGGTTAAATTTAAATATTTCAATTTTTTAAAATAGGTCAATGCTATGTTTTATCATATCTTCACTTCATATTAAGATAATTAATTATTATATATGATTTTTCCACTTAGATTCATACAAAAAAGCGGAACAAGCTTGCTCAAGATAGACTCAATGATTTGGTCTTTGTGAAATACAATCAAGCACTGAAAAATAGATATGATAGGCAAGATGTAGATCCCATTTCCTTGGCGGATATTGATGAAAGTAATGAATGGCTACTTGGTAGTATGATGGATGTCGATGAGGACGCAGCAGATGAGCGTGTTTTTGGTGATGATGAGAATGAAGAGTTAACATGGGGGGCTGTTGCATCAGCAGCAGGTGTTGGAGAACCAATTAAACAAACAAGAAGCCAAAGCCAAGCTAAAGGAAAAAAAGCTAGCTCATCTAGAGCTAAAGGAAAACAACCGATTACCAACATTGAGGAACTTGCAAATTTTGATTCAGATGAGTTAGAGGAAGACGATGAAAGATATAAATCCAACAATGAAGGAGGAGAAAGTCCTGAGCTTGCCACATCTGAATCTGATTCAGATTTCTAGTTTGATTTTTTTATAGGCCTCAATATTGTTTTTTCATATTTTAAAGACATTTTATGCACTTGATTGATTATTGGAATAGTTTATATTATTTTGTTGTAATTTTGTAGAAGTTTATGATTGAAGTAGATTTATATTTATCACTTTATCTATGGTTTGTTGTCTATAATCTATGTATTATGCATTTTATCTATAGTAGCGCCTTGCTTCACTCAGGCGTGCGCCTTTGTAGCGCCTTGCGCCTAAGGCGTTTTACCAACTTTGCGCCTTGAGTGCGCCTTTCGCCTTTAACAACACTGGATCCAACCAATAAAATGGACCTTAATTGAAGGCCAACTATAGAATAAAGAAACACAAACCAAACCTAAATGCAATTCCCGAAGACTCCAGTACCACTTAAAGTAAAAGGATTGCTATCCCAAAAAAAAAAAAAAAGTAACAGTAAAAGGGCTTGAGCATCAAAGAATCCCTGGCTGACAATGATTAGTTGATGATCTTTTCATCATTAAACAACATTAAGCCTTATCTTACTATGTGCAATCAATTTTATCAACCCTCCACATCAACATCTCCCTCAACTTTCTTTGTATATGCTGAAATCATCTTCATTTTTTTACCAACTTCTCTTTGATAAATGCAACGCCAACTCTTCCTCAAATATGGTCAACACAAATCTCATCTTTTCATGTATGACGAATATTGTCTTTTCATCATTAAAGGAAAAGAGAGAGATCTCCACAAAAAATAAAATTTTAGGAAAGGAGAAGCCACAAAAATAAAAGAATACAGCCAATTCCAACAATGCTACAAAAAAGGGAAGACATAATCTTAAATTCACACTACATTACCTGATTGAGTTGTGGACAGTCAAGCATGAATCCTAGTAAACACCGCACATCATCAGAGACCTCTGAAGGAGGCCCTGCCACTATTAGAAGTTCAATTACCACTAGGAGCTCATCAACTAAAGCATTCAGTTCACCCACTGGACGTGTTGCCCCAGTAAGGGAAAAAGTGTTCACCGAGTCCTTTTCAGGAATAGTCCAATAACATTTTCTGCACCCATCAAGAAGCATCTGAATGGCATTGGCATCTCGCATGATTGCTGACTCAGTGAAAACCATGTCTGCGAGTGATGACAAAAGCTTCTTTTGTATTCCATAACTGCACAAACTCCAAATTTTTAGATCTAAGAGCAATGTACTGAAGAGCTGTACTTTAAGTATGTCATTGATTTTTTGAGACTGACAAAGTGAAACAACAGCAGCAACAAGTTCCTCATCTCCTACACCATCTCGCTTTCCATAATCAAGCAAAGATAGAGTCTGGAGAAGATAATTCAAAATTTTTGAAAGAATCTCAGGCCCTCTGCCACGAGACAACTCTTCATTGTTCCTAGGATGCTGTACAGCCAAGGATATAATTCGAAATATTGAGGCAGCAAGAGATGTGGTTGCTAAAGACAAAGAAACATTCCCTATTAGTGGTTCCAAGGTAATCTCATGTACACTGCTCACTGCCAAGGGAAGCAAAGATAAGGGGCCTCCATAGGCCAAAGCCCACAGAGCATCAACAGGTCGCGTTCGTGTCGCAACATGGACTTGCCCAAGAACCCCAGCTGGACGTCGAGCCAACCCTGATTCATGATATAAAGAACTTGTAAGAAAAATAGGAAATAAAGCTCACTGTTTATCCATGCTACAATGAATGATAAATTTTCTATTGGTTTTACAATAAATGAACATTTAAACATGAGACCCTACATGTTTAAATTCTAAAATAACAAGCAAAAAATTCTTGACATCAATGCATTTGTTAACAAAGAGTTGATAGTTGATTGTATCATATGCAAAAATTGGCGAGAGGAGAAAAGAACAAGCACCGATCTCAATATTAGGTCCATCCCAAAAATAGTAAAATGAAGGAAAGCAATCTTGTTCATGTCCCCATTTGTGTTAGGTTTTGCTCAAGATTTGATAGGTTGTAGGCAAGAGATTGGCTTGATAGACTATTGTAATTAGCCCCCTTTTGCTTTGTAGTATTGTTTGTTGCCTTTAATGGAATTTAAGTTGGCTTAAAACAAAGGAACATTGGTGAAGAGACAAAATAAGAATGGTACATGATGTTAAAATATGTGAATATTGTATTTATTCCTATAGTTGTTACTAGTTGGTTATTAAGGGCTGAGTTGGCATTCATTACTCTGTATGTGGGTGCTCTTGAATAAATATCCTTGTAAATCTTGAGAATAATTATCAGAGAATTTTTTCCTCACTTGTTTTCACATGGTATCAAAGTGAGAGCAGGAGTAGCTAAGAGGAAAAATAGTCATCTTAATGTTACTAATGTGCCTAAACACTATTAGAGGGAAGCTGTCTTAACTGCAACAGAGATAATTAACAGACTTCCAACCCTTGTCCTCAGTTCAAAGAGCCCTATGGAAGTTTTAGCTCATTTTTTTCCTAATTTCAATGCATCAAATGGACTCATACTTAGGATCTTTGGGTGTGTTGATTTTGTTCATTTGCATTTTCAACAAAAGACCAAACTGGAACCTAAAGATCTCAAATGTGTGTTTGTTAGGTACCCCTACTCAAAAAGGATACGAATGTTGTCATCCTCCTTCAAGGAAATTCTTTATGTTAGTTGATGTTACTTCTTTTGGATCTAACTCTTGTTTCAATGCTTCTCTTAAAAAGCAAAGTCCTCTCAACGATGATCAAGGCAATGATATTTTCCTTAATGAACTTACTAGTTATTCTTCCAGCAAGTAATACATTGGAAGCACCATTAACTCTCAACTCCACTCGTCCACCACAAGTTTTCTCTTGGAAGAACAAGAGAACATCTTAACCTAGGCAAGTTCAATCATCTAAACCGGTTCCTGCTCAAATTTTAGGACCTATGCCTGAAATTTTTGAGTTAAATCCCTATTCTCTTGAACAAACTGAAATTATTTCAAATTTTCATGACAATCAAGATGTTTCTAATGATAATTCTGAGCGGCTTAAGTCTAATTTATCTATTGCTTTGAGAAAAGGAACTCGGAGTTGTACCAAACGACCTCTATATCCATTATCTTCATTTCTTTCTTATGACAAATTGTCTTGTAGTCACAAAGCCTTTCTCACTAGCCTACATTCCATTCCAATACCACAAACCTTATTTGAGGCATTAGCAGATGAAAATAAGGTTAAGGGAATGAAGGTGGAGATGGAAGCACTTGAGAACAATACATGGGATCTTGTTCAATTACCAGAGGGAAAGAAGCTTGTTAGGTGTAATTGAGTCTTTACTCCTAAGGATAACTCTAATGGCTCCATGGATAAGTATAAAGCTTGACTAGTTGCCAAAAGGTATACTCAAATGTATGAGGTTGATTATGAAGAAACTTTTGCCCTAGTTTAAAAAATGAGTACTTTCCGTATTTTATTAGCTCCTCATGATTGGGAATTATTACAATTTGATGTGAAGAATACTTTTCGACATGGTAATTTAAATCCTACTGCTCAAACCTTTTTGAGTAAGTATAAAGCTTGATTAGTTGCCAAAGGATATACTCAAATGTATAGGGTTGATTATGAAGAAACTTTTGCCCCCATTGCAAAAATGAACACTTTTTGTATTTTATTATCTCTAGCAGCTACTCATGATTAGGAATTACTACAGTTTAATGTGAAGAAGGCCTTCTTACATCGTGATTTAAAGGAGATCTATATGGAGGTTCCACTCGGTTTTGATTCACAATATGCTCCTGATACGGTTTGCAAACTTAAAAGGGCAATTTATGGCCTAAAACAATCTACGATGACATGGTTTGGAAGGTTTACAAATGCTAGAGTTGGCATGGGGTTCAAACAAAGCAATGGTGATCATACTTTGTTTATCAAATATTCATATTAAGGGGAAGTAACAATTTAACTCATCTATCTTGATGATATCATAGCAATAAGAAATGATATAAAAGGGATTAGCTCTCTGCAAAGTCAATAGATGAAAGAATTTCAATTGAAGGGTTTAAGGAGGTTAAAATATTTTTTAGGTATTGAAGTGGCATCTTTATATCCGAACAGAGGTATGTTCTTGTCCTTCTAGCTAAAACAGGGAAGTTGAGTTGCAACCTATGGACACTCCAATTGAACTAAATCATAGTCTTTGTAAGATAGGAAAACATCCTCGCAAACCAAGGCCAAATCAAAAGCCAAGCAAACCTCCTCCACCTAATCCTCTTATCAACAAGGAATCTTACTAGAAGCTTGTAGGAAAATTAATTTATCTAGCCCACACTAGCCTTATCTAGCCCACAGTGGCCTAACATTGCATATGCAATGAGTGTGGTAAACCAGTTTATGCATGATTCTAAAAGTCACACCTACTGGCAATACATCAAATACTCAAGTACTTGAAAGGTACTCTAGGAAAAGGCATTCTATTTGAGGGGGAGAGAAGATTGACCATTGAAGCATATATTGATGTAGGTCATGGAGGAGATATGAATGATAGAAGGTCTACATGAAGCTATTGTGTGTTCCTTGGTTCAAATCTCATTACTTGGAGAAGCAAAAAACAAGATGTGGTGTTTAGATCTAGTGCCAAAGCTGAGTTTAAAGCTATGGCACTTGGAATTTGTGAGTTATTGTGGATAAAAATCATTTTATCAGATTTGAAAATCAAACGGGAAGGCGCAATGATGCTTTATTGCGACAAGTTTGCTATCAACATTGCTCATAATTCAATATGACATCATAGTGTTGAGATTAATCAACATTTTATCAAAGAAAAGTTGGAAAGTGGTCTAATCTATACTCCCTACATTCCTTCTAGCGATCAATTGGCAAATATACTCACAAAAGGATTATCTAATGAACATTTCTAGAAATTAGTGTCCAAGATGGGAATGGATAATATCCATTCACTAGCTTGAGGGGGAGTGTTAAAATATGTGAATATTGTATTTATTCCTATAGTTGCTATTAGTTGGTTGTTAAGGGCCGAGTTAGCATTTATTACTGTGTGTGGGTTACTATTGCATAAATACCCATGTAAATCTTGAGAATAATTATCAGAATCCTTTCCTCACTTGTTTTCACACAAGAGAAGGTAATAATTTTGCTTATTCTATTGTGTATTAAAAGAGTACAACTCATGCGATCAAGAGCACATAATATACTCACACAAGAGTTTAACATGCAAGGCCAACAAAGAATAAATAAGGCTATTCCTTAAGAAAATCTACAACTGTTAAAGGTTTACATAATTAATCCCCATTGCAATATCTTCTCTTTCCATCATCACCATTCTTGGGATTAAAATCAAGTCAAAGCACCTACCAGGAAAACAAATGAATAAATAAATAAGAAATTTTAGAAACTTCTTGTTCCTTCGTCTGAAATTAGAAAATGCATTTAATTTTCTGCTATGAGGAAAGTGAAATGAATGTTAGATCACAGTTTCACACGTTTATACCCAAATCACAACATTGTTATGAAATACTGCAAAATATGTGATAAAAAAACAAGCTTCAAGATTAGAAAATTAAAAAATAAAGGAAAAACAAAGAGGAATTATAACGCATACAGCCCTAATGTTAAGTAAGCAGACAATTGCACATAATAGTAGATGAACTTCCAACAATGATACAAAACCAAAAGGAAACAGTTTCCTAGATGCATCCTGTGCCACTACATGGCGCACATTGACCTTAAAGATGATTTCTCAGAGAACAGAAGCCTTTTTGTGTAAAATAAAGAAGCATTAATGTAAAAGAATTTATAAATCATAGGAAGCATTGCAGAGAATTTATCTAACCTGCAGCACCAGAAGGTGAAGCATCTGGACAGTAACGGCCACTGAGCAAACAAGGATGATAAAGCAGATGAATGCAGCCACCAATTTCTGAATCTAAAAGAACACTTTCCTCTACCTTGCTCTGCATATAGGGATTTGTTGCCAGCCATGGCAACCCTGCTGCATTACCAAAAGAAGGCAACACATCCCCTCCTCTTGAAGCCAACCGTGCCATCCTCTCTGGGCCAATTGGTTCCTTGAAGATGTAGACAGGACCCATTTCAGCAAACAAAGGGCATTGACGACGACGGCGTTGTAAACCAGCCATCGTTGGGGGAGGGTTAGTTCCTATGCAGCAAAATGAAAGGGGTTTGGAAATTCGAGGAAACTCGAAAGGACGACTTTCATATAAAGATCCATCTATATATAGTCTAACTTCACTTTCTGCTTTCCCAATAATTCCATGCTTGCTAATATGTTCCAGACCAATGAAGTACCAGCACTGCGGTTTGAAAGCATGGGTAAAATGCAAAGAAGACTTCCTTCCCTTTCCACTACCAGTTTCAACAACCAAAAATTGAGCATGAAAATAAGCCTCTATGCCCTGATTATCAGCAGATAAGAAACTAAAAAGCCGTGGCATGTGTGCTGTACCTTCACCAGCAAGTGCACTAGCTGCAGCAGCAGCTGACATAGCTGATGATTTACCCGACTTAGCTGCAGCAGCTGCAGCAATTGCGGCAGCAGCTGTTGCTGTATTTAATGTGTCAGCAAATGATTCAATGTAAATCCATGTCGCAAACCCATAACCATTGACAAAGGGCCAACGGCCATCACCTGGACCAAGCAAGCCAGAGCTTTCACCATCAAACTCAAAACTGCAAGCAGGTCCTCTTGACTCCTTTCCACCTATCGCTTTCTCCAATGCAAGCATTAAACGCGAAGCCCAAATTGTGTCAAGTGTTCTTCTAACAACTTGAAACCATCTGTGAAGATCACTCACGCCAAGAGAATGCCCTGCTAAGTATTGTATACAATTACACAAAGGAGTTCCATCCCACCTCATTTGCCCACTTGAAACAACATCCTCTGTGAAAACTTTTTCTGCTGATTTCAACAATACTCCTAACAGACCAGCCATTGAGCACATTGCTCTATTTCTAGTACATGCCCGCAATATGGCAAGAAGTCCCCTGACCATTCGCGTCCTAGGTGACATGATATAGTCAGTATCACCTGCCCAAGGAAGCCAAGGAATCAGCTCAGCTGCCACAATGGCAGCCCGGGAATTCAGCATCACACTTGGAGGATTTTTATCCTCATCTTCTTCAAAACTTTCAACACCACCCATTGTTGCCAAAAGTGAATCTACAATTAAGAAAGCCACATTTTCCATTATTTCTCCAGTTCCAAAGTTTTCCATGCCTCTAGCAATATTCTTTAGTTTCTCCAGACTTTCAGGTTTTCCCATAATAGCAGAGTCTACTAAATGAAGTAATTCTGGAGAAACAGTTGGCATAGCATTCTTTTGCTTTGGCTTTGGTGGAGAAGCAACAGGCGAATATCCAGTTGAATCAAGACCAGTTTGATACTCAAACTGATTCATTGTTTGACTGAAATGCCCCTCAGACTCAGGGCTATGTACAAATAGATCATGTTGCATGTCAGCAACAGGAGAAGAATCACGTTCCATCATATATATCCCCGATGAATATTGAGAATCTTCTTTATTTCCGACATAAATGTTTTCTTCATTATCTAAATGCGAAGATTGGTTTGAATCTACAGATTCATTATTCTTCTCCTGATCTTTTAAAGATACCTGCTCAAAATGGCCCTCATCCACATCTGTACTTACAGAACCAACTTCCTTCCCCTGCAAGTGTACCTTTTCATCTTCATGTTCAACTCCAATACCAGTGCTAGAATTTGCACTTTCACGATGGAAACTACCTACTATTTCACCTACACCATTATCTACTTTATAAGTCTTTGACTCTTTACGGGATATTTCTGCCTCTTGCGCCTTTTCTTCTTCTTCCATTACACTAGTTTTTATGAAACTGACAAATATTCATTCATACAGTCAGTGCCTAACCCGCCTGCAAGTTATAGACGTAATAAATCATCCAATAAAAGCAAGATTTAGATCAAGACACCAAAATATGAAGTTGGGCATCATATTAACATTTACAACCGAACCAACAGCCTGCATTGCTAGTGATAAACAATTATCATTGTGCGGCAAACTTTTAGAAGAACTGTACATCTTGTCAAAAATTTTAACCACGAACGCCACCTAAAAGCATGAGTCTGCTCCTTCCTTTGTTAAAAAAAAGAAAAAAAGATGAGTCTGCTTCTTTATTGAACATCACATTCAGTATGGGAAGACCACCTACCAGATCAAAAGAAGAAATAGTTTCAAAAATTAAATAGCAAACGAAGCCAAAGGACAGAAGGTAAGCTCCAGGCTGGCTAGATATATTTTAAAAGAAAAAAATAATAATAAGTTAGAAAAAGCTTAAAACAGTTATCATATTCAAGATTATTTACGCAGACGAGAAACTTATCCCCTAAATCAGCCAGCTATGCAGCTCTTCCAAGATGCATATCAGTTTGGTCTGAAACCAGATTAACAAGAGAGAAATTAAGTAGAATTCGCGACACTAATTTTCAACCAAAACAGTAAGCAAAACTGTCTGTAGCTAAGGTTAGTCTTCCAAACATGGAATGTTAATATTCATGCTCTTTTCTTTAGTGGTTTCTCAGCAACCAGAGATAACTTTATGCAGACCTCAAACTAGATTGTGGCAAATAACCAGTTGACGTCATTAATTGAAGAGTAGTAGAATTAAGAGAGGAAAAAGGTTTCGGATCTTGTTGAGAAAGCAGATAGATAAATTTACGAGAAACCCACAAATCAAACCAGCTTAAATCGCCCCACATTACACGATACATCCGTATATCAGATTTTTTTTCAATGCATAAATGCATCAACGGATTCATATAATGATTGATCGGAGTTGGGTTAGTCAATGAAGATGCATAGATCCTAACGAAATCCACATTACTTCATAAACATGAAAGCAGACAAGGAACGAATTTGGTTCCAATTCGTACCTTGCACAAGAATATAGCTTGGAACACCGGTTCGGATTTAATCGTCAAATACCATAGACGATTTCATGAAAATATGAAAGAAATGAGGGAGAAAAAAAAAATGCTGAGAGAGAGACTGGGAAAAGAGTGAATCGGAGGAGGAGGAAGAGGAACCGAGCTGGGCGCGAGTCAGGTGTGGGGGCCCGGTTGCCTCGTCAAATACTCAAATAATCAAAAAAAGAAAAAGGAAAAGAAAAAGAAAAGAAAAACACAAAACATGCGTAAGAGAACGAGGTAAGAAAACTAAAACAGCGTGCTCACTCACTGCAACGACTAACTTTTTTAATTAATATAATTTATATAATATGCACTTTTTCTCCATTTAAGATTGGCTGAAATAGATATACAAGTTTAAAACTGTTTTTATTTTATAATCTTTCTAATTTTCAACTGTGGCATGTAATCTTCCTCAATTTAAGAAGTTTAAAATAGACACCATAAACTTTCAAATTGTGATTACCAACCCTTAATCGTTAAAATGACTGTCAAAGTTAACAAAAATGCCCTCAACTAGTAAAGAAAAGCGCATAAGCAAATGACATGAAATATTGAATATTTAATTTAATTATTGTTATCCTAACTTCTTTTTTTTGGAAGGCAATTTTTTTTTTGTATGTGCCAATTTTCTAGTTACTTTTTTTCTTTTGGTTTCATCTTCTTGATATTGTCACTTTTTTTAATTCAAAGCTTGTCCTGCTCTTTCTTAAATCTCTACTTCAAACTCATCTTTAGTTTTATTTATTGAGAATTATCTTACTATTCCTCTCTTCTCTACTTTGTTGTATTTGATTTGGGAGGAGAGGAAAGGAGAGAAGGATTTTACTCCCCTCTCTTGTTTGGATTGTAAAAACGGGAGAAAATTTTGTTATGATTGTGGTGTTGGTGTGTCAAAAGATTAAGTTCAATATTACCCACATGAGTGAAGTTTCAAAAATACTCATATTGTATGTGACATTCCAAAAATGTCCCTATATCTTTGCTGCTTGTTGGTGTTCAAGTTGTCATCCCTCTCCCTTAGCTCGCACAGCCATCACTGCTGCCTTTGTTCACGTCGTCTTGGTCCTTCATAGCTAACTCATGCTGCTATCCATCTATTCTCACGCTCACAAAAAGCCCATACCCAACCCCAATACTCATAGAAGACAAGTTTGTGGTTGTTCCATTTCAACTCAAGCTTCAATGCTGCCCCCTTCCTTCAAAATCATTTTTCAAATTAAATGGGAAAAAATTTGGGCATCTGCAAAAAAAAAAATAGCATGGGTATTTTTATCACATTATGTCTTTATCATTATTTTAAAAAATTTTATATGTCTACTTCATTAAATACTCATAAAAAATAGCACAAATTTTAATAAGATAAAGGTATAGTTGTTCATATATAATTATTCTCCCTCCTTTCCCCTTTTATAACCAAACAAGATAATATTAAAATCTCTTCTATACTCTTCCCTCTATTAAAATTACTTCCTCCCCTTCCTTCAAATCAATCTTTTAAGATCTAGTATAAAAGTGACTCAATTTGATTAGTTAATTAATCCGTTTTGAAGATTGGATTGTTTTAAACTAAACAATTTTGACAGAATCAAAATTAATTTGAAAACTAGAATGGTTGGATCATTTTAAACCATTTATTCTCTTTACTCTTATTCTAGTAATAAAATTTTTCTTCAATTTAAAAGAATTGATGGCAACTTTTTTTTTTTGGTTTGTTATGGTGAAATTTTGAGTACATGATTTATTTATTTGCATTGTATGAATCAGACTATGGAGAAAATTGAAAAATTATTTGCTTTAAAAGACAATTAAGGTACATATAAAAAATGATAAAAAATAAAATTTAATATATTATGACTAAACTACTTTGACATGGAAATGATATGTTGGTATTTTAAATATTTTATTTATATATGCATATAAATGTTTTTATTTAATTATTATGTTACCAGTCGACTGCCAATTTAATCAATTAAACTGTAAGAATTGTGATCTGCTGTTTTTTGGGTCTGTTGTCTAATTTAATCCTTGAAACATTGTCTCAAACCAAACAAAGCTCATATGTTCTGCTTTGTGCAAAAGGGATTATCTTTCTCTTCCTCTCTTCTTCACTTCAATGACATCGTGGTTCTCTGAGTTGTGCCTTTCCATCTTCAACCTGCTAATGGTATACATTTCAACAAAATAAAAAAAATGAATAGCATTCAAAAAAAAAGAGTTAATATTTAATTTATAATTAAATTATATGAATAAATTACCCTATCAAGCAAAGATGATAATATAATATGGTAGGTTGGGTTGGCAAAACAAAAACTCATTTAAAGGTGCCTTTTCCAACCTATACTGATTACCCCGAGTCCATCACAAGCCAGCCAACACAACCCACACAACCCAGAAGCTAGCATGTTTTTTAATTTTTTTTTTACTTTTTGTAATTACACTTTTTATATATTATTTTTCACAACATGATCAAAATAGTTTTCTTAAAAAGGATTCGTCTAATTTCCTTAATAAAAAATAGAAAAATTAGATGTGAGAAAGTAACAATAATGATAAAAGATATTGAATATTAAATAATACTCTTGAACAAATATTTACAATTCGTTCTCTCCTTTCTTCATTATTTTAAGACATTTTTCTATAATTTCTTACCAAAAGACTTTATGCAATTTTTTAATGCTTCTTGATTTGATTTTCTCCAACTAATTAAATAATATTCTAATAAATCATTATTTTCTATTTAATGAATTCCATTAAGAGTAATTCTAAAAATTTTAAAACATTAATTAATTTTAACTTGTTCAATTATTTATGGTGAGAAAGAGAAACCATTATTTATTTGGTGAATTTATGGTGTGAATATAATTAAAAATCTAAAAGAAATAATCACTCAAAGAAAATAGCAAAATTTGTAACCACATAAAATATAAAGATATGGTTTCGTATTCATGCTTTGTAAACTTGAAGTGATACGCCTTTTTCTTTATCTCACTACTTTAGACTTGTGAATTGTTGATATTTGGATAAATAACTTACGAGTAAAAAATGATTTCATATATAAGAGAAAAAGATATGTTAAAAATATATTTTAAAAAAAAGGAAAAAAAAAAAAGCCCACCAACCCACCTCCGGCAAGATTTTTCAACCTGTCAAAAATCATGTTTTTTAAACCTACACCTGTCACAAGGCTATAGGTTAACCCACTTTTCTAGCTCTACCATCAAGCCTCTCTCATATGGCATCGTCTACTCTTTGTTCCTATGTTCTAACCACTATTTTTTCTATAAATTATTTAACCTTCCTTTGAAAGAAAATTGAAATGATTCATTTCACTTGCATTTACCTATGTGAAAAGGATAGATAAACTCCACTTCCATGTTTGCACCTAAAACAAAAATTTCAACCCTCACAAAAAGAGGCTTGAGGAAAAAACATATTTTTATTAGTAGAAAATCCCATAAATCCGAAATCATATGAACCCTAGAATTCTAAAATCCCCAAGTCTAAGATTTCTTGGTTAAAAAGGTGGAGGAAGAGATTGCATCACTTACTAGAATGTTTGAAGGCTCCAAATGAGGGAGTGTCCTCTTTGTATAATCCATTAAGGCACATAATGCATCTACCATGACAGATAATACAATGATGGAATATCTTCTCAATGTCATTCAACACAATAGATGATACTTGTTGGGTTCATCTTAATTCTTTTGAGTCATTTTTAGTAGTTTTTCATCCCTGATGCTTTTCCAAGCTTTCTAATCTTATTTATCAATTCTTTTTTGGAAGTTTTGACTATGATTTGATGGATAATTTAATTATTTTGGAATCCTTTATTATTTATAATTATTATTTTAAAATGTACGTTTGAAATTTTTCATATTATTAGTCTTTTTGTCAGCTGGGTTCGACTCAGTTCTAGACCATAGTAGACATATATTTATTTAGCTTAAGCATTTTGTATCATGATAAGGTAGTTTAGTTTTATTTAAAATATCAAGCCTATTTCTTTCTAACCATAATATACCTTTTTCTGGGTAAACATAACCATTATATACCATTAACACTTGGTTTTATTATTATTTTTATTATGGTTGATTATTTAACTATAGTCAAGCTTTTTTACCATGGTAACCTTTGATTGTGGTTAAATTTTTTTAATTACCATGACAGGGTTAAAAAAAATATAGATGGTTAGTGGGATATTAAGGTGTTATTTGTTATTGTCTCAAACCTTGCCTTCGGTGCTGTTGAGGGATGGAGACCCATTATCACTAAGAAAGAGCGAGCTTATTGGGAGTGGGGAGGATGAATAACGAGAAAGGTTGGAACCAAAGATATTTTTGTCTTGAAAAAAGCCAATCTCAT